AAGAAAAAATGAAGTTATTATGAAAAAATAGTACATATAATCTTGTTAAACTTTTAAAAATGAGAAGGCCATTGAAGAATAAATAGGTGTTCAAGTTAAAAAAAGATGATGATAAACAAGTGAGGTACAAATCTTAATTGTTGGTGAAAGGTTTTTTTCAAAAACTCAACATCGATTTTGATAAGATATTCTCTCTAGTGGTGAAGATGAGTTTCATTCAAGTAGTATTGAGATTAGCAGTTAGTTTGAATCTTGAGCTTGAGCAACTTGATGTTAAGACTGCACTTTTGCATGGTAACTTGTAAAAGGATGTTTATATGGATCAACCTAAAGTTTTTGAAGTGAAAAGAAAAAGAGTACTTAGTTTGTAAACTGAAAAAAAGCTTATATGACTTAAAATAAGCTCCGTAATAGTGATATAAAAGGTTTGATTCTTTTAAAGTGAGCCACAACTATAAAAGAATGGTAGTGGATCCTTATGTGTATGTTAAAAAAATTTTGATAGTAACTTCATTATTCTTTTTTTAGATATTAATGATATGTTGATTATGGGACAAGATGTTGGTATGATTTGTAGGTTGAAAGAATAATTGTCTAAGTCCTTTGACATGAAAGATTTAGGCATAGTTATCAAAATTGAATTGAACCATCGGTCCAACCAATTGAACCAGTGAACCAGTGTTCAAAATCGGTTTGGTTCTATAATTAGACTAGTTTTACAATTAAATTACCTTAAACCGTTATGAACCAACGGTTTACATAATAAACTAATAACCCGAACGATTTTTTTTTTAACTAGATTGGTTTAATATCAACTAATAAGTTTAAGTAAAATAAGAAGAAAGCCCTTTAAGTATTCAAAATAATCTTATTAAGTCTTTATACTACTATTTCATCTAAATAAATCCCTCAACTCTTATTTTCTATAATTAAAGCCCTTATATCCTTATATTAATGATATATTAGCATATTTTGAGATATATAGGTAATAACATTGCAAAATAATTTACACGTGTAAAAAAAAGTAATTTTAAAAAAAATGATCTAATAAAAAATTTTATTAATTGATACTATAATTAAAATAATTATAAAAATAATAATACATAAAATTCATAAAAAAAATGAAATGTTAATAAAAATGATTAATTATTTGACCATGATAAAAAATAATTAATAAAAGAAAATGTACATATGAAAAATTAATAAAAAAAATCTACATTCATATAAAAATATAAAAATGATTTGAATTTCCATTTTACTAATTTTCATATAAAATTTCTTTTTATTAATTTTATATATAGATATTTCTTTTTTATTACATAAAGATTAATTATTATATATTAATAAATAATATTTATATTTTAATAAATATAAATAATTATTATTTATAATTATTTATTATATTTATTAAAATATAAATATTATTTCTAACTATTAAAATATAAAATATGATTTGAATAAAATATTAAGTAATTTCATTTCTAGCTAGTAATTAATTATTCTATGAATTTTATATTTTAAAATTCGTAGTTTATGATATATCTTAAATTTTATAGTTTTATGATTGAATTATTAAGCTATAACTTGAGTTAAAAGTTTGAATTTTAAAATTTTAAAATATTTATATTTTTAAAATATTTTTTATTGAACCGAAAATTGACCCGATTGACACAGTGGTTGAATCATTAACTTGGTGACCTAAAATCTTAAATAGTTTAATATCCAATTCGATTATGATATCTATAAATTTAGGTCCAATAAAGCAGATTCTCGATATGGATATTATATGGGATAAGATAGTTAAAAAGCTGTGGTTGTCACAGGAAAAGTATGTTGAACGGATGCTGAGTAGATTCAACATGTAATATACTAAATCAGTTAACAATTCACTTGCCAACAATTTTCATCTAAGTAAAAAATGTTGTTAAATGACTAAGGAAAAACAATTAACTATGTCTAATATTCCTTAGTCTTCTGCAGTATGTTCTTTGATGTATCTTATGATTTGCACAAAACTTGACATTGCTTATGCAATTGGTATAGTGCAGATTTTTTTATAATCCAAGAAAGATTCGCTAGGAATAAGTGAAATTGATTTTCAGATATTAAAAGGGCACCTTAAAAATATGCTTGAGTTGTGGAATTTCACAACTAATTCTAGAAGGGTTTACTGATGTTAAAATGGCAAGTGATATTGATGATAAAAAATCTACTTCAGGGTATTATTTTACTTTTATAAAAAGAGTTGTGTCTTGACAGTCGAAGTTGTAGAAGTGTATTATCTTGTCAACTACAGAAGTTAAGTATATTGCAGTACTCGAAGTAAGTAAAGAAATGCTTTGGATGAAATATTTTCTTCTTGAATTAGGGTTAAATAAAAAAGAGTATGTGATATTTTGTGATAGTCAGAGTACTTTAGATTTGAGTAAAAATATCATGTATTATACTAAAACAAAGCACATTGATATTAGGTATCACTAACTACGTTCGGTGATCGAGGAATAACAAATGTAGTTAAAAAAAGTTAATACTGATGAAAATGCAGTAAATATATTGACTAAAACACTTCCAAGAAAAAATCTTGAGCTCTGCAATAATTTGATCAGAATGGGTTCCTTAGCCAAGGTAAGTTCCAAATGAAACTACTATAGTGATGAATATCCTCCTAATAGGGTTGAAAGGAGAGATTGTTAGAGACGTGAGGTCCAACCTTATTCCTTTGGTTTTGACCATTCAAAGGCCACGAGCTTTTTCACTTAACATGAAAAAAGAGCCCCACATATTAAAATAGTTATGGGGGCTATTTTAAAGGAGAAAATAGTGGCGTCGCAAGCCAAAACCAAGAGGAAAAGAAAAGCAAGAAAAGATAAAGAGAAAAGGGAGACGGGAAAGTGAGTTGAATGAAAATCGATTTGTTGTTTGACAGAGTTGAAATTTTATCATCGGGTTTATAATTCAGTGTTCTACATTCTGAATGATGGATATTGAGTTTCAAGCTCTCTAGGAACAAATCTATAATGTATTTGTTGAGTCATCTATTTGATAAAATTTCTTCAATTATCACTTTAATTGTTGATTAGTTCTAGTCTTAACTAGAAGAGAACTTTGTATATTCATTATTTGATAGTAAATTTTTTTTAGTGGTTCGTAGTTTTTTCCTTTACACAAAAAGATTTTCTACATAAAATTTGATGTATTTTATTTTTCTTACATTATTAATTATTATTTTTATTATGGATTTATTATGATATATTATTTTTGCATTGATATATTTATCACTTCAGACCCGTCATAAGGGACGTGCTCCGCTCCATGCATAGTTCTCAAAGAGTGTAGCTTGTTTTGTACAACGGAATTTTTAGTTATAGGTCTAATTTGGTCCTTCATTGTGTTGCCCCGGAATGATATGCGCCCAAACAAGACACTGGGGGTTGGCCCAATAATGATCTATTTGACATTTCTCGTTGTTCGGGTGAGCACATCCATAGGTGTTTTATCAGTAGGTTTAGGTTGACAGAATTATGGCCTTGACTCTAGCGTAGCATCTTTAGTGATTTCTGAACCTGACAACAGAGTTCAGTCACCTGGTGGTTAGTGTATTCCCTTCCTAAGAGCAATGGTGTAGGAGGATAAGTTTTGCTTAGATTCTTGTATAGCATTGAGTTGGAATAGTTATGTAAATTGCACTTGCCATATCTACATTAGCAGCATGTAAAAATAATTGCAAAGCAGAATTTTAGTTAATCACACTACAAATTTCCTGTTACTTTAAAATAACGTTGTTAAGTATCTGTGGCCTCAGACCCGATTTAATTGTTCGTTACTGATTGCACTTGCTCACTTGTGTTGGCTTCTCTAGATGGCATTGAAAATTGTGATTCTTACTAGCCTTCTTTTTTACCCTACATGGTTTAAGTAACAATCATGGAATACATACCTTTAGTGTGATATTCAAATGTTGAACTTGCTTGATTTTGGCCTCTGCTATGTTTCTTTGTGATTATCCTTTCATTCTCTCCCCTTCTGTTATTCAACCTTGTGATTAACGAATTAGATGTAGTTTCTTGCTAACTGGGACGGATTCAAGTGGTGAGGTGAAGTGTTTATGAACATCTTTAAAAATTGAAAAATAAGAAAATTAAAAAAAAAAAATCTTGAATACTTAAAAATATTTTCTATGCATACTAAAATTGAAAAACAAGAAAATTTTTTTAAAAAATTTCCCTTGATGCCCCTAAAATTTTCTTTGGGAAACATTTTTTATTAGTAAAATTGGTAAATTCTTTAACAACGTTTTGTATAAGTTATAAGTAGACATTTGAAAAAAAAAATCTTGAATCGGTTACAATTTCTATTACAGTGAATTGTTCACTATCTGCTCATTAGGTGAAAACAGAGGATGCATGTTTTCAGTTCTGAACTCATCGTAACCGCTTTTATTTTAAATGGCTGCTGGGTAGTTGATCTCTTATCCAAATCCAGTAACCATTTTCTCCATTTTAGGAAAATTAGAAATTGCTGCTCTTACTCTGATGCAGGTACTCTGCCTCACAACTGTACCAAGACTTGGAAAACTTGAGTTTACTCAGCTTCCCATTCCTTCATTTATCCTTTGTTTAAAACTTTTATTTTTTAAATTTAATAATCTAATTAATTTATACAATCAATAATGATATTCAATAAATTTTAAATTTAAATTGTAATAGTTATAACTTTTTTTTTCTTCAACTGAAACTAAAAAAAATCCTCTTTCTCAATCTTTTATTTCATGTATTAAGCTTCCATTTTGCATCCACAATTTAGGTCAAGCCTCTTTGTTCCTAAAGTTGTTACTTTGTTTCACAATTCACTATTTTTCAGTTCATACTTTCATCATTCCATTCAGAAAATGAAATTTGTCAAGTTGATATTTCCTAATATTTTTTTTTTGTTTGGATCATCAAAATTGGAATGAGAATTTAACCCCACAACTCAACTTGCTGTTTGCCCCACTCCTTATTTGACCATGCTTTGGTTTCCCTTGATACTACGCTTCGCCTTCGCCAAGCATATCCGATTAAGGGCATAATCGTAAATGAAAACTTAAAAGGGCAATCTAAATTTCCCTGACCAAACCAAACCGCTGCATCTGTCTGTCCCATACAAGAAAGAAGAAAAACTTTCCTCTTCTCTTCTTCCATCTCTTTTTTCCTGTCTTTGGATTCAATTTCAATCAACAAAATCCAAGATGATGCACATGACCTTATATTGGGGAAAAGACGTAACTCTCCTCATCGATTACTGGAAAACCGATTCATGGCTGAGTTACCTCCTCACTCTACTCGCTTGTTTCCTCTTCGCTTCCTTTTACCAGTACATGGAAGATCGGCGCCTCCGTTTCAGATCCATAGCTTTCTCCAACTCATCCCAGCCTTCCTCCAACGTAGCCGCCGATCCTCTCCTCCCCAAATACCGCTGCTCCTCTAAATTAGCGATGGCCGTGCTCTTCGGAATCAATTCGGCAATCGGATATCTCCTGATGTTGGCTATCATGTCGTTCAACGTAGGCGTTTTCTTGGCCATCGTTTTGGGACTTGCTGTTGGGTACTTGTTGTTTAGGTGCACCGATGAGGATACCGTGGTGGTCGAGAACGTATGCGCTTGCGCTTGACGCTATGTTTTTTAAAATTTTCTTTTACTTGTTAGTGTACTAGAATTTCCTGTACGTATCATCAATACTTTTTTTTTGTTGAATTATATGATTTTCTTTGCGCTTGTGAAATTAACTATTCGTCTTTTTAGTTTCTAAGATCTGGTTATATGAAATCCTTTGATTTTGTTGGGGAGATCTTCTTCTTTGGTTTTATTGTTTGACAAAATCAAGTTGCGTTTGATTGAAGGAAGCAAGGAAACTTGAGAATTAGCCATAATTTGCTTGCAGACTGTCATTTGGTTCTCAATGGTTGGTCTTTTCCTTTCATAATTTCCTTTTTTTTTTTTTTTGCAATTAAAGAGGAAACAGATTGAAAGAAAGATGAAGCCGAAATTCGGTAGTTGGCTTAATTGTGCAACTATTTGCATAAAGTATGACTGGTTGGTGAATCTGTAAAGCAAATATAATCCTTTCAAGTTAGATAGGAACAGGATTCTTTCATTAATTTATTATTTTTTTCCTTGTTAATGGAATTTCAAGTTAGTGCATTTTCTAATCTCTTGGCAAAATTGAAAAAGATGAAAAAGACAAATTCTAAGAATCTATGCTTTGTGTTTTTATGTGGTGGAAAAAAAAAAAGCCATTGCTGTCCAAATCCAATTTTATTATGGGCTTGATCCCTAATATAATCAGCAATGTCGGCTAAACTTGTTAGAAGGCCGCTCATATTTTCTTCCCGTTGGGTGCTCCTCTGATATTTCCTCAGCCATTGAATGAGATGTTGGTTAATCCTCGAGATTTTTTTTTTTTTTAATCTGTTTTGAACTTCTGGCCATGGTCTCTTCTCTAACTTAACTAGAATGTGAAGCAAACTTTATGCTGCCTGTAATTGTTTGAAGGCAAAATTAAGCTAATCGTCTTCTCGTTCTAGCCATTTTATTACATAGTTAAATCAACTATCTTTGTCAGTAGTCATAATTACTTAAAATTACAGCTTCTGATCATGAAACAAAAATGCATTAACTGAAATTTGCTTCTTAATTGATTCCCAATCTAGTTATACAAGTCTGAACGAATAAACAAAAATAAAGCATTACTACAGCATTATTTTATCCGTATATAGATGTAGAGCTTTAATTTTTGTGGTTATAAAAGGAAAACCTTCTTAGGCTTCCTCAGAACATTCAGCACCGGGTAGATTCACCATAAATGTAATCAAGAACAGCAATGACTCCTAAAATAAAAGCTTGATCGATTCCAGGTTTTACCGCTACATGATAAAGATCTTTACTTGCCATCAACTCGTCTACTTCCTTCTTTACTCCAATCTGTCATCAAATGAATTATGATTTAGAGCAAACTTGATACGATGTTAACATAGCTATTGGCCAACATTCTACGTATACATTTCTATTTTGATTAAAAGAGAACAGAAGGAAGCAAAGAAAATAAGTCTACTCTTTTGTCGAACAGGTGAGGTGGATATGAACTACCTGTGCAACAATGTTGCCTATGGAATCAATGATGCTGCAATTTCTATCAGGGAAATAACCTTTTATCTCAAAGTCCCACTCCTTGCTGCTTCCTTTCGGTTCAATGGAGATTCTGATGGCATTGGTCCTTGCTAAACATGAGCGGGGCTCCTTTAAAGTGAAAACCAACTTTTGTGATCCTTCATAGTCACAAGTGTAACCTTTCCATTTTTTATGTATGCTAAGGGCCTCCACCATTCCTCCCTGAAATATAAGAATCAACAACAAAATATAGGCTTGGCCCATAACAATAGAATTTGTGCTTTGTGGGTGCTTGTGCATGAATGCGCCAATACCTACTTAATAATTAAAAACACTACCCGCATAGACCTCTAAAAGAAAAAAAAAAAAAACTATGATCAAATTAATGATAAATATAATATTCTTAATTAGTTAATGTAATGCGATATAGTTGGATACTTGGAGTACTCATCTCACCCACCTGCTTCCCTATTGTACAAACGTTACTTGATCCAATTGCCATCTCTATTGGAGACTATTTAAAGAAACAGTTATCCCTACGATGATCAATTACAATTCCATGTTATCCTGCTTTATCCTGTATAACATCATGTTCATTTTGTCTTTCCATCTAGCACATGATCAATTACAGTTATCCCTACGATGATCATTCATATGCACGCATGCATACAAGATGGATGCATTAAGAAATTAACATATTAATCAATACATGTTTCCAAATTGATCAGAACAACCCTGATCCGTCACCTTCACGTCATTCACCCTCATGTATATCACAAATCAGTTCATGGATACTATAATAACATCCTCTTATGTATGCATGCTTGCTTGGTAATTGTTATATATTTATGGTATGATTTATGATGATGATTAATTGTGAGCTTCTGATGCTCTAATGGGGAAAAAATAATATATTACCTTTCGACGTATGAGAAGCAAAGCATCCCCATTTCCATCTCTCAAAACAAGCTCCCCTTTAGTACCAAGAACCCCACAACCGTCAACCCTGAAAACAACCTTCTGGCTACAATCCGTGACCACGAAACCTCCTCCATTCACTACATGTGGCCTCCTTCTAACCACCAGCACTACCTGAGAAGAAGAACAGTACAACTTACTGATAACCGGCATTATACTGGCTTTTGCAGCCATCTCTTTCTATATCTCAAAGAAGAATTCTAAATTTCTGAGTTATGAACTTTCTTTGATTCTCTGATCTTTCTCAAGTCTGAGACAATCTATATTTATATAGATAAAATGTTGCGCATGAAGAAAGAAGTGATAGGGTAATTATAAGAAGAATAAAGGGTTTGAAAATTTTTTTTCTTATGTTGAAAGATTTGGCAAGTTATTTGACTATTGCTATACTTGGAACATGTAAGAATATGTAGTGCCAAACATTGAGAATTGTGAAGTTCGCTTGTTGAAGATGAGGATCACAACCTCACGCGACACTCTATGAGCCAATGATTTGAGAGCGTGGAGCATGTACGTTATATACTCCGCCTTCTCCACGTAGGATTCGTTGTTAAATATTGCATGTTTTTTTTCTTACTTAAGACTTAAGGTGAGGGAAGATTTCAAAAAGGAGTTTTCGAGTCTTTTGAAAATTTGGCAGGTTGCCAGAAGGGGAATCTTGAATTATTGATAAAGAGGACTTTATGGAACCATTTTTCCTTAAGTAAAGGTATCTTCTTGAAGTTGATTTAGAATAAATCACTATAAAAATGCATGCAAGACTCATTGAGTATGATCTGATCTCCTTATTGAGTGTATAAAAACCTGTAAACGATGCTAATCAGCACACGTGGCTGGCTAAATGGGTTATTGTAGCCAATGGTTAGGTCATGGCTTTATAGCCACGAATTGTTCATTACTCCCTTGACTACAGCTTCATGAGAAAAGATTGCTAATGGCTGCTGACTTCAATTTGAGTTTTGTTGTAGAATTTTACAGGTGATAAGAACTTGGCTTCTAAGATTAGAATTTGATTATTCAACGTGCTTATTGTCATAAAGATTAGAATTTGATTACTTTGAGCTTGGAAAAAACTAGTATTTGGGGTATAATTTCTGATTTATATGTAATCTACCAACAAAGGTTCATGTTCATCTCTTCAGGAAATAATAGTTATCAAGAAATTGCAGGCTCCAAAGAAGGAGAGCTCCTGGTTAAAATTTGTCGTAAACATATTTTGGAATGGACAAATACTAAACTTTTTGTGTTAATAGCATCCCCAAATGTGATTAAAGCATAAGAAACAATAAGAGTCCAGATGGTTTACAAGTAAAAAGAACCAAGAATGAATGATAATTCAGTCCTAAAAGTGAAAAAGGAAAAGTGACCAAACAAGAGTAGCTGTTGATGATCAGATCAGAGCAGGTTTACGGCACAGCCCAGGCAAGGGGCAGGCCAAATCCTTGGGCTTCTTGATTATATTAGCAAATTCACAACAAAAAAAAGAAGGAAAAGAAAGATGCTCTGCTTTGAATTGCACGTATCGTAATTGTAAGCCTAGCATCACTATCTCAAAAGAGTAATCGGACAACGACTGTTTCTTGGACTTTGAGGTCTTGTTTAGTTCTGGAACACCACGATACTCGCCCCATCTTTCGTTGACTCCAACCCACTTTCAATTTCTAACATGCACCGCCAACTTGACATGTCAGTTGACCCGTAATTTTTCTCTTTTAATTAATTATTAAGTACTTAAAATAATACACTTTTATTTTATTTATATTTTTGGTGCTATTTTTATTTACATTTTTCGTTTCCGTGATATGCCTTGGAGTACGGTATGTAGCCACATAATAAATGTGGGATTAATTGTCTCTACGGCATTTTAAAAAATCTATATCTAACATATATATTTTATTACAATATATATAAATATCAAATAAAATTTATCAAATGAATATTTATATGGATAATTTAAAAAAAAGATAATTTTTTTAATTAAAAATTAGATAATTTTAAATTTTTTCAAATAACAAAATTATTCAAATTATAATTAAAAATTAAATTAATCTATATATATTTTTTAAATTAAAAATCTGAAATATAGATTTTATCTTCCTAATAAATCATTTTAGTTCTTAATTTGTCAAAAAACATTATTTAAGAATTATTTAATTATCAAAATATTTCAACATATTTAAAAATTCAAAAAATTAAATTTATCCAAATTTTTTAACAATCCCTTTTTTACTTGATTATTCAAAAATTTACGTAAGATATTAAAAATTCAAACAAAATTTTTATTAAATCTTTAAAATAATAAGATCATAAAAAGGATTATATTCATCTTAACTTTAATTATCAAATTTGTATTTCAAATATATGCAAAAAATTCGATGTCATCTTTATCACTTATTATATCCCATTTAAATTTTAAAAAGATAATTTAAAAATTATCTATTCAATCATAATTACTACTCAATATAGTTTGCAACTTTTTCAAGGTATATTCTATTGCCACTGTAATTTTTTTTTTTTTTTGGTTTACAACATTTTTCAAGATATATTTTTTCACTATTGCAATTTCATTTTTATGAAAAATAATATTTTTTTAATTTATTTTTTCACATATTTTTTTATATTTTGTACAATAAATTTGGTCAAGATTACAAAAATAAAAGTATGTTAATACTTCTTTTATTATTTAATTCATCATTCAATAATATATAAGTTTTGTTTTAAAAAAACATAATTAATTTTTATTTGATATAATTTTACAAGTATATATATATATTATTATAGATAAAATAGTCCAAAGGGAAGACATGATATATTTTTTTTTCAAAAATTATATTTTTCAAAAAAAAAAAGTCAGTATATATGAATTTTATATATGCTATAAATTTTCAAGATTTGAATATAATTGTAGGAAGAAACTAATATATATATACACACTTATATTAAATAGATAAAATTATTTCATACATCATATTGGTTGCAAACTAGTTTATACATATAAGAAATATTACATTTTTATATTGTTCTCACTAAAATTTAGTAAAATTATAAATAAAAAGATCAAACAAATAAAATTTTCATTTATTTTTACAATGATAATATTAATATTTAGGTTTCAATTAAGCTATTAAAAAATTTTATATTGGAGTATAAATATAATCATATGTTAATAAATATTTATTATTAAAATTGAAATGTGAGATATATATTTAAATATAAATATTTTATATAAATGTAAAATCATATATTTTATTATATATAAATATTATTTTTATTTTTTACTTATTTAAAAATGTTTGTTACTTTATATATCTAAAGATATTTTTGTTAAAGTAAAATATAAATAATAAAAATAATAATGAAGTAATTTTTAATTTAATTTATAATATTATAAATGTAATTGCATGAGACAATATCTAAGTATAATAATTTTATTAAATATACAATTTTAAGATTTAAAATTATTGAATTTTAGATACAATTTTTAATAATAGAATATAAAAAATATACGTGATATGTGTTTATATAATATGAATTAATGAATGAATGTATCTCTAATTTTTTTCTGACTTGTACTTCGGAAAAGATTGGGAGCTGGGATTATGCATCGTAGTGAAGAGAGTGCGCCATTTGCGTCCTCTCACGCCAAACCCAGAGTGCGCGTGGAAAAATCCAGTCCCTCAACATTTCAAACTCTGAATGAAACATGAAACGACTGGGGGTTGGTTGAGTTGAGACCCGTACGGAAGTAAAAAGGGTGGAAATTGCATGAAATAAGTGCCGTGAAAGACAGTAATCCTCCATTAATACTATGTCCAACCTGGATTTCCAATTTTAGTTTGTTTGTCCAAAAAAAAAAAAGCTTTTTGCGCTTACCAAATTACATCACTTCATTTGTGTTAAGTGAAAATTAATTCTGTTGGATTATTTAGATACCTCAATGTACGTGAATTTTATGGATTACCAAATTTGGGTTCAGACGGTTTAATCATTAATCCTTTTCATTGCTGCATTCTAAGTGAATGGTAGGTTAGGCATTTAAGCCTAGACACCAACCAAGCATGCAGATTACCACGGCCTAAATAAAAAGCTATGAATCAGAAAGGGAAGTTATTGGTTGTGAACTATAACTATGAAATGGAGAGCAACGGTGGTGTGCAGATGTTGAGTGACAAGTGAACTGCCCCCCTCCACTCTACTACTGTCTTCGTCCCAACACAGACCCCTCAACATTAAAAACCAACAGTTGATTTTGGGACAATGGTCATCATTCGCTTACGTGATCATTCAAGGAACAAATCCTATTGATAATGACCTTCTAATGTAACTTGTAAAATTCGCATGCTCTAATTCAAGAAATTGGTTAAGTGGTAATACTTTTGAAATTCGCTCTTCTTTTTTCCTTAACCAAGTTGACCTTTATCTTACAAAATTTCCAACTGTTTTAGACTGATTCAAAATCCTGTTAGGAGATCGGCATTGCCATGGGGATTGGTTATGATCTAGCAGGAGGCAGAGCAGAGAGTGCAGGGATACAGTATCAGAAGAAGAATAGTTGAGGGCATGAGAGAGCTATGAAAAAGGTCACTATTCATGTACTGTCTGAGGTCTGCACCATCAACCAATATCCCTGTAGAACCAGTGTTGGGGCCTATCCTATCATGAGAACTTTGAAATATTGGGTTTTTCAGCCAGAGCTCCATCTACACTTTCCCTTCAAAGCTGGTTTAGACCAATAATTCTAACTTTCCAGGGAGAATGCAAATGAGCAAACCTAATTTCCTTCCTTGCTTGCAATCTCAAAAATATTAGCAAGAGTTCTGTATTTCAATTATCAAATGATGAGTGTAGACTTAGTAACAAATATCCCATTGCAAAATACCAAAAAAAAAAGGTAAATAAGGTACAGGGAAAAAGACAGAGGAAGAGAAAAGAAAGAGCATTAATTTTGAATTAGAAAAAAAATAAAGAACAAAAGAGCATATGCAATTGGAAAGAATGAACATGACATAAAGGTAATAATTTCTGAGTGATTCTACCAAAGAATAAAGTTTGGAACTTACCTAGATCACTGTCTACCCTGTTTCTTCCTTTAGTCAGAGAATTACCCCATTTTTGCCTCTGGTTCTAGTGATTCAAAAATTGGTTTTCCCCAAATTTCAACATCTTTTGCAAAAGGTAACTTTCCCATGAATGAACAACAAAAATTTTCATTACTTGATTTTTACCTCTTGTAGTCTCCAAGAGTTGTTGTTCCCACTCCTTATTTTTTTCTTCTTCTCTCTCCTACTCAGATGTCACGTGCGATCTGAGGTACTACATCGTGCTTTTCGCTTCTCTGCCTTCTGCAATTCTGCATCCCCATCCACCAGAGGGACTCAGACCAAATAATACAGCCAATATATTCAATTTTAAACAGCTGAGAGAGTGTTTTGAGTGTTAAAATTGTTTTTCTTTTTACTGTTATCTTTTCATTTTAGTAAGTGTTGACTGTTGATTGTTACCATGTAGTTGTTTTTTATATAACAAAAACTGAAAATTTTCACCACCCAAAAACACAGATAAAAAGAATCGGTGACTCTGGGAAAGACTGAAACTTTAGCTTAAATGGGATCGTACAAACACTTGCAGGCTTTTTCACAGCCGTCTTTACCATTATTGCTATTATCATTATTACATGCACATCGCTTGTGTCGAGAAAGATCAGATCTTTGTTCTTCTCTCCACGCACTCTCTGTGATTTCATCTAATAATGATGATACCCTTTTTAGCCTCATTATATTTATCTTCCTTTGTCTCTCCTTTAAATCCCCATTTAATCTCTTCTTCTGGAACTTCATTATCTTCCTTTGTCTCTTCTTTAAATCCCCATTTAATCTCTTCTTCTGGAACTTCACAGCAGAAAAGACTAAAAATTTTCTTTGTTTTTCAAAATGACCCCCACCCCCCACAAAACCCCCATGTCCTTCATTTCTCTTGAACAACTTCTGCAGCTGCTGTTGCTGCTTTCAGCTTCTGCTGAGTGTTTTTAGTTCTGGGTCGTAATTATCCTCGTCAGATTACTTGCCGCTTCTTGTTTGTCCTTATTAACTCTTTTGCTTATACACAAGAAGCGACCGCCTTCCTTCCTTTGTTTACTTGCTACTTCTAATACTACACTGCTTCTTATTTTGTTTTCTTGGGAAGGTGGGGGTGATATTGTGAAAAACAAAGCTATCAATTTTTTCTCCGGCATTGACCAGAGAATCAGAGTTGCACCTGGAAATTCATGGCTGCCAGGTCAGGTGGTTCTTCGTTTGTGCCGTCTCTTCCTCCACCATGTCCGAAATTCCCACCAGAGTATCCGGATTTGTATGGGAAACGAAGGGAAACAGCTAAGATTCAGATGCTTCAGAGAGAGATTAGTTTTCTTGAGGTGTGTTTAATTTGGACAGCCTTGTGTTTCGTTCTAAATTGATTACTAATAGATTAGTATGCAGAAATTTCTCAATGTTACGTTTTTTAATGGATTAGGATAAAAAAATGAAATTGACATTTTGTAATTTGCTAGTGCAAATTGTAAGATTTCAAGTTCCCTGTTTTGTACTGAAAGTTAATGTCACGTATGGATACAAAATTTTTTGAACGTATCTGTTTGGTGAGAGTTTTATGGGATCAAATGAAAAGGTGCCGGTTAATATTAAATTCAAAACATGAAAAAGAGCAAACCTACTGTAGTTGTGTTCATTCACATAGAAAAGCAAACTGGGAAAATATTTTTCACTAACATAGAAAATTTTGGTAGCTTATCATGGCATACAATTAAAACTGTTTGCAGAATGTTGTCTTTCGAAATCGGAATCTGCACACCATTGTAGAGGTTTATTATTTATTGATACAACATTAACATTATTGACAATCATTGTTGTGTTAAAAAGCAGGACATGTTTTGCTCATCTAACACTCCAATTTGTAAATTTTTATTCATTTATTATGGTTTATCCTTTAATTATGTAAACCTTTCGTTTCAGCTCAACTAGAGACGTAAATTCGTTACAACAGAAACATAATAGTACAGAGTTTAGAAGATTTCTGAATTCCATATTCTTTCATTGCAGGTGTTTCATTCCCTGTCAATTTGTGTGCATCAACCTATGAATTTTTGTCAAATAGATTTTACCTTCATACGTTTGACAATGTGCATATATTAAAAAAATGGTTCAAACAATATATGGTTACAGACACAATATATGATCTGAATGAACAACTGACTAGGATTTATTGATGCTAGAGTATTCTAGCAAGAGATTTTATCATCATCAAATCATGTGCTCTTGCCACCCTATATTGTCTGGTCCAATTGCATTCCAAAATGTTGCTGACGATCTCATTTTGAGCAGGAGGAGTTAAAATCTGTCGAAAGTATCCAACATGCTTCCAGATGCTGCAAAGAGTATGAACAGTTTTTTAATTTCCTTGAATAGCATCTAGTTAATTCAAAGTTTTCTGGTAGAGATATAGTTCATCCCTGCATTTTGCATATTTTGGGTTATCGATAGACAAAGTTGTACATTAGCCAAAGGATTTTTTACATAGGTTTTTTTTTTTTTTTTTCTCAGGGTTACAGATTTTGTGATGGCAAACTCAGATCCTCTAATACCTACGTAAGACTAAAATTGTCGTCTTTTATCACCAATTTTTATGTAATATTTAGAAGTGGATTTAAGCCTTACCTTTTATTTTTATCCCTCCAAGCAGAAGCCAGAAGAATCAAAAGACACGTCGGTTTTGGAAGTGGCTTTGGTACCAATTTCTTGTACTTCTGTTTTATGTTTATTCTTCATTAGAACTTGATTTTGTTCATAAATACAAGATATACTCCCAAACACCTATAATTATAGTTATTATACAGACCTAATTGCATTTTTATACACATTGCCTACTGAGAACTTCAGGCTAACTTGTATTCTGAGTGTCAATCTTCTATCTCTACATTTGAAGCAAAATTTTTATAATGAAGTATTTCACTTCTCTCCACGTCCTTTATGACATGAATTCTATTTTTTTTGCAGTGGAATGCCCTGTTTAAACTTGTCATGGATCTGCTGCTATTCTGGGTGCTCTTGCAATCTGAAATGCCCATGGTGCTGTGACTACAATCTTTGTGGCCGCAATTTATGCAACTGCAGCTCATGCATTTGCAGCTTATGTAACTGCAGATCCTGCAACTGCAGCTTTTCTGACTGCAATTTATGCAACTGCAACTGCAGCTCATGCATTTGCAGCTTATGTAACTGCAGATCCTGCAACTGCAGCTCTTCTGACTGCAATTTATGCAACTGCAGCTCATGCATTTGCAGCTTATGTAACTGCAGGTCCTACAACTGCAGCTTATCTGACTGCAGTTCATGCAAATGCAGCTCATCCGATTGCAGTTCATGCAAATGCAGCTCATGTGACTGCAGCTCATGTAAATGCTATTCATGTAACTGCAATTCGTGTTTAAGCTTCTGCACAATTCCAAAATGGCAGTGTTGCTCTTTTCCTAAATCCCATTGCTGTAGAAAGATCTCATGCAGCCGAAACCGTTGCATTTTTCCATTTGCTTCATGCACAGACTGCTGTTGTTGCACATGGAAATGCCCTTGTCGTCAATGTCCAGAGGTATGCCTTTGCTGCAGTTGTAGAAAAACCTGTTGTAACCCATGCTGCTTATTATTCTAATATATTTATGCAATTTGGGTTGGAATCCTTGATCCGAAGCTTGTCATTCAATTTTTGCCGGGCAATAGCTTTTATGAAGTCAGAAAGTGCTGAATTTTTTCCTTTTAATAGTTACATTAGGGAAGGGAGATTCAAACTTGAACCTCCTGATTGATGGAATTGTCTACTTATTATTGAATCAATGCCTCGGTCATACTGGTGAACTATTATCGTTTTCTTTACAAAAAATTTCCCGGAAATGATGCCAGAATGATCACAATATTACGTAATTTCACAGCAAATAGCAAAGTCATTTGATGTTACAATTTCGCTCATAAATTATAATCCACAATTAGTCGGACTTAAAAACCAGACTTTGACTAGAATTGCTTAAGCATAGGATTCTTCCTATCAAAACTCTTGCTGCATATTGCAAGTTTTTGTTACACATCTGTCATTTGCGTTGGCGGTCTTTGTTCACAGTGAGAGTAGATGATGAACTTTTCATGGTCTAAAATTCAAACCAGTGGACCTACTACCGGACAATCATGGATGCAACTAATTCTCATTGGCAGATCCTTGTTTGGTCATTCTTTTCCTTCCTAAATCGTCTGAAAATTGAGTCAGGACAACGAGGCCCTTAAACTGGAGGCAAAGACCCCAGTCCCAATGAGAATTAGTTGGTGAAATTGGTTGAACTTGCTGCGCTTAAAAAGATTTCCTACGTGTCCATCCTTGTCCCTCCTGCTTTTCCTTGAATTGTTTGCAACTTTGTCGAACCCGCCTATAAACACACCTCGAATGTATTTGTCAATGGTTGTTATTAATGGGGGCTCCATTTGAGGGAATCTGTTAGCAAAGAAGGAATCATTTTTATACCATCACTAATCAAGTAAACAAATATCACAACCACCCTGATGACGAGGCCTTTTGATTCTTAGCTTATGAACAAGGCCTGGTAAAGATGTCAAACATAAATAATCCAGTAAAGAGTAAAGACGGTTTAGCTAATGAAAAAGGCAAGCTGGGCATCCAATCCAGTGATATCCCTCAATAATCAGAATAACTTTGTTTGTGAAAAAAATAAAAAAATCAAAGCTCCATAGTAAACCAAATAAACGAAATTTGCAAACTTCCAAACTCGACTCAATTCCACCTTTTCTTCAAGGACTGGATCCAGGGTCCATGTATAGTGGTTTCCTCCATTAATAATGGCCTTTTGCACCGGTTTTCTTAATGCAAACTCGTGCTGTGAGAGGCTCACTAACGGGAAAACCCCAGAATTGTAAACTGTCTAAATCGAACGCTCATAACAATGTCCATGAGAAGGAAACTGGGCTCCTGACTTGGTTTTTGGCATTGCCCCACACTATTGAACCAAATTCAGATCTAGCCATTGGGCTCGTCCCTCTTTTAGCTACGAAAGTCACGGTATATCTCTTCTTCTCCCCTACGCTTCTAAAGTCGAGTGTCCTGGGCCTAACTGAAATCCCAACTGTTGATGGGCCATTAACTGTCACTTTGTATGAGGACCCTGCAGGGCCTACATTAGTCAATTCACGAGTGTATCGAACAACCCTTATGTCCCCAAACAAGACTGAAAATGATGGGTAGTTGAGTTCGCCAGGGTCATTGAATTTAGTGGAACATGTAATATTAGGGCGCTTCACTATGGTCTGGACATGATCAAGGGTGTAGCCCAGTGAGCACAAGAATACAATGTATTCCTCTGTAGAGATGTCATATACTAGGCCTGGAGAAAGAGCTTTCTGGGGGTCAACATGGCCAGCCCCATGAACCCATGGGTTAGATAATGAACCATCAGCAGCATCACTGAGAGAGGAGTTGGTGTTGTCCTCGGTGTAAGCCGTGGTCATTAGAGCCGATTTGATTGCACTTGGGCTCCATTCTGGATGAGCTGCCTTGATCAGCGCTGCTAGCCCACTGATGTGCGGGCAGGACATGGATGTACCTACATTTTTTAAAACACAAACAAAACGACCAAGATTTAGCTAAAGCCTAAAGTGAACAACTGAAAATGGGCAGGATGTACCAGTTACCAAACATGCATGCGTGTGGAACACTGTCTAAGTCGTAAATGAAAAGACCATACTTCTTCTAAAGGTAATATCCTTCACGTGCTTAACAGCTCACCAATCAAAATTGGCTTCTTCTTATTACATCAAAGCGGTTACCAACTACTATTTTAGTATGTTTAAGACATCAAAAACAAATCACTGTTGGTATTTTTTCTGAATTATAATAAAAATTTTATTCGATACTTGAATTTTAATAATTTTTAATATAATATTTAAAATTATAAATTTATTAATTAATATAATATTTGAAGTGTTAACCTAAAATAAATTTTATCCTAATCTAATCCTTAAGTGTATTTATTAAAAGAAATAAATTATAAGTATTAAGATTGAAAAAAATAATAATAAATAGTGATATAAAACAATTTAGGTAAATTCCAAATTATTCATGATAGCTCCACTTTGAAAACATAAATTATTACGGAAAAGTAATTGTGGAATTCTTTGTATAACCATAACAAATCTTTTCAGCCCAACCCATTTTTCTGCTGACCATTATTGAAAATGACCATTTTATATCGCAAACTAAATCCATTGCGCAACTTCTTTTCAACTTCCAACGGTGTGTTGTTTTTTAACAAACTATGGTACACTTATGCAAAACTCGACAAAAAGGAATAAGACAAAAAAACACATGCAAGTCAACAATATAGCCGTTGTAACGTACCTGACATAATGTTGAACTTAGTCTTCCTCGTGTCCTCCGCCAATCCAGTTGGCCCAATAGCCTCTGACCATGCAGCCAATATGTTGACTCCAGGCCCGATCACGTCCGGCTTCAAGATCTGCGGAGTCACCATATTGGGTCCCCGCGAACTAAACGTCGCAACAACCGGTGATGGACGCACATTCAACACCGTCCCACCAAAAACAAGCAAGGCCGTCGGATTAGGATCGGACTGTGCATATTCCCTAATCAAGTCGCCAACTTTCCTCCCCACCGCCACGGCTGGTAACAAGTGACTGTCAGCCACCAGTTCCTCACCGTTAACCAGCGTGTTCCCTAATATCATCCCCACGCCGCCGGCGTCACGCACAACTGCTCCTTTTTCCACACGCGCGTTTGTTCCCCTATCGCAGACCACTACTTTCCCACGTACCAAAGCCGGGTCGAGCGAACCAGGCAAACATAAATTACTGGAACTGTTACTTTTGTTGTAAACCAAACCAACCGGTTTCTTTCCCATTCCTTGACCGCTGTAAAGCGAGACACCGTTATAACGGATTTTATTTCCTAAAACGGCGTAAGCGGGGAAATCTCGATCCAAAGTCCCGGCGCCAACCGTCATAATCCATGGTGCCACGTTGGCAAGAGTCGCCTTACTGGGTCCGCTGTTGCCAGCAGAGCAAGAGACAAAAATGCCCTTTTCCATCGCCGTGAAGGCTCCAATAGCGACAGTGTCACGGAAATATGGCGCAGATCCGCCACCGAGGGATAATGAGAGGACGTCGACTCCATCTTGGATGGCACGATCCATACCTGCCAGAATGTCGGATCCGAAGCAACCGGTTTCCCAGCAAACCTTGTACGTGGCGACGCGGGCGTGGGTTGCCATCCCACGAGCAGTTCCGCTGGCGTATCCGAGGAGACTAGCGTTGGCCACGTGAGAACCAGCGGCGGTGCTGGCTGTGTGGGTGCCATGACCATCTTTGTCACGTGGGGACTCGATATCTCTGTGTTTCTTGTAAATTCCACCACCACCAACGGCCATATGGTAACCTTTGGAAAAGCTTCGTGCTCCAATGAGTTTCTTGTTGCAAAGCTTGGGACTAAAATCAGGAGCAGATTCACACTCGCCGCGCCACTTAGAAGGAATCTCAGGCATGTCGGAATCGTCAAAGCTCTTAGATTCTGGCCAAACTCCAGTGTCCAGAACTCCAATGATCACATCACGAGAAGCTTGTTCTAGTTGCTGAGTGTTGTGGCCAGCCCAGAGCCCAAACTCAGAGTCAAGTCCTAAGAATTGCGGGGTACGAGTAGTGTGGAGAGTGTAAATGGTGTCTTCATAAACACCCAGAACGGAATCTGATTTGCTAAGAGATTCAGCTTGTTCTGGATCAAGAGAGGCAGCGAAGCCATTGAATGCAGTCATGTAGGAATAGAGAAGGGAGTCAGTTGGGGTGGCAGAGAGTGATTGCAACCTTGAACTGTACCAATCATGGTGAGTTTCAAAAGAAAGAGGCTTGTCCTGATTTTTCATGTGAACAATGTAGGTTTTTTTGGCGGTGACTGTGAAACTAAGTACGAGGTAGAAGAAGCTGAGGAAGAACGTAGAAGAAGAAGAAGCCATGGAGGCCATGTCTGTGGACTGTGGATTGCAGAGAACAGAGAGCCGTTAAAATTTGATTACTAGTAACTTAATTTTGTAGTAGTACTAAAAAAATGGAAGGGTGGATGAAGGAGGGGACAGTCGCTACAACAAGATGCGACTGTCAGAAAACAGCAGAAGGAAACGTTAGACAAATGTCGGATTTATAACCCACTTGGATTTCTAATTGGGCTTATTTTTTACTTTATTTACCTCAATGCCATCTAGTCGATGTTCTGTATGTAATAATATGCTTACTTATTCGTCTTCTACAATCTGATACTGAGTTATCATAAAAATGAAAAACGGTGATTTTGGTTGATATTTTGAGACATTATAAGGTTTTAATTTCTTCATCTTTATTTCATTTGGATAATATAAATGGTAAGATATTTGTCTTTATCAAATACAAATGCAAAGGGACCAGGTACAGCTGTAGACAAGTCATAGGAAATGCACACTATTGGCTACCTCTGCTTCTACTATTTATTTTTCTTGACTATGGAAATCGAGTTTTTAGGCATTTAGAAGCTTGTTCCATTAATGTTGAGGTATTTATTTCCACCATCAGAAATCTTCAAAGCATGATTTTCTTCCTTTAATTAGAAATCTCCTTCGCTAAATCAATTGGCTACTAACTACCTCTTCTTAACCTGACATTGTATGATCAAAGGGCATGGGGACAGTGTAGAGTTGGCGTGAAAGGGTTGTCGGATCATTGAGGGGCTGTAAATTAAGCAAAATGAGTGCGGCGGTGTTAGTGGATGTGGTGACTTGGTATTGGCCATGGGGTAGCCCATAAAGGTATGTGAGTTTGAAACCAGCATGAAAATGCGATTGCAAAGTTAATTGTAAGGAGTACATATAAATGCATGATTTCGTTGGGAAATCCGATTACTAGTTTTTTTTTAGTGCTTTTAAGTTGGTCATAATTAAATATTATATTCATATCAATCAACAAATTAAGTTTTACTTAAATAAATTTAATATAATTTTAGAGCCTTTGAAACCAGATGAAAACTAGATGGAGTACTTTGAAAGTGAGAACTGAATTATACGAAGTCAATTTATCGGATAGAAGTTGAGGTCATTAGAATTTAGGATTGCCTCTTTTCCTCGGCACCAAATATCTCACCGTTTTAAGAACATAGGACAAGGCAAGATTGAGTTACACTTTCTTTTTTTTTTTTATCCTTTTATTTATGGTTGGCTTTATGTTTTAAGTTTTGTCAAGAAGGACAATCTTTAAAATTATTATACAAAAATTATTTATTTCAAAACACTGAAATTTCGACATATTAATTATCGATTATCACATTTAATAAAAAAAATTAATATAAATAAAAGGATAAAAAGTACTTTAGGATAATCATTAACAAATTTATTTAAGGTTTTAATCTTAAGTAATCTTTTTTTTTGCAAAAACATCAATGATTTTTATAAAAAAAATATATAATTGTAACATCATAATTGAAGTATTCTATCTATAAATTTTATAACAAAGAATATACATGTCCTAAGCAAATTATTAACTTGTAATCCTTTTATTAACAAGTACGTATTTACTTATAATCCAATTAAATGAATGTTAATTGAATTATTAATAAATGTTAAACACTTATCAAGATTATTTAAAAATTAATTTTAATTTTATAATCATTTTTAATATTATTTTGTTTATATTTAACAATTTAACAAATTATGACACATAGTACTAAAGAAAAAATAAGACAAAAAAGGAAGGGTGAGATGGAATGGGTGGGGCCGGGTGGGATGCAAAAAGTGGCCCATTAGGAAGAGAAATAGAAGGAGGCACGGCAGTCAAGGTTGGTTACTGGTTGAGTCATGATTTTGTCTTCAAACTCGTGCGGTCGTAGCAGTCCATCCAATGCTAACGGCTAATTTTTGGTACGTATTTCCCAATCCTCTTACGTTTTGTTCAGTGTGAAATGAAACTGGCAAAGTGGGCAGAATTTCTTTTAGCAGAGGACTCTGGTATTTGCCCTATCTGCTCCCATTAAGTATTAACCTCACTTTCTATTCAATTTATTTATATGGCTACAAAATAATATTTAATATATTTAAATTTTAATATTTATAATTTATTTTTTATTATACTATATTTTAAAACAACGAGTTGATTAATTGACGAATTTGTTGGCACATAGTATTCATTTTTTTCTATTCAAAAATGGTCTGACTATTTAAACAGGGAAGGCAACTACTATTAATTTTTTTTTTTTCAAATTGGAGTAGCAATTATGGTGAATTTTTTTTCGCTTATGCCAATTACAGAGGACCACATGAACTGTAGATGATAAACTCTAACATAGCCGCAGATAATGGCGTCAATCGAGGCAACGAAAACTCCCATGAAATCTGAAAGAATCTGCCGAGTACCGCACGCTCACACTGCTTTCTTTCTTTTTCTCTCTCTCTTCTTCAATAATGTCCCACGCGTTTTCTGTCATCTATAAACCATCTTTCTCTTTTTTTTTTAGCTTCTTTCATAAAAATTTGCTCCTCTCATCTTGAAAAACAACAATCATCTGTTGTCAAACAGTCAAAGTGACTGATCGTGAGGGGCGGCTTTATAGGTTTTTTGACTGGCCAGCTTGTACAAATAATGGTATCTTTGACCATTGATTTACTATTTGCATGTAAAATTTACTTGGATTTGTAGTGGGTAAGCATGTGAATTAAAATAACGTAGACACAAGTAATTTTTTTTCTAAAACAAAAATACCCAACACATAAAAATGAAGAGTATAATTTAGATGCAGTGAATCCTCAATCCATTGTGGTGGGGATAAAACCAAACACACCAGCTGCCGCACCATCTACTTGCCTCTTCCATTGGGAATACCTAATAACCTTCCTTAGGCAATAGGCAGTAAGTAAGATGTGGCCCATATCACAATTTTTAATTTTTCTTCTTTTGTCCATAACGTAGGCTTTGGAAAATCCCCATAGCCGTGATAGATAGAATTAGACTCCTTGATAAGGCCAAAAACTTTGGATTAAAGAAAAAAAAAAAAAAGCTAAAAGATTGAGTGCAAGCAATCATACAAACTCATATCATGTTGTCAATAGAAATTAATGCTGTACATGATGAAATATGAAATTGAAAGTTTCGGTAACAAATTAAAATACATGTCCACAACATATATAATCACAGTAAAAAACAAAGTGAGTTGATTTTGGATGACTTTTCAAAAAGGGTAGATGAATTAGATGTCAAGAAAAGTTGCATCCATTAATAAATGTAGTTTGAGTTGGGATAGTCACTCCCCTTCACATTTTCCCGTCAACTTCAATATGGTCATGGAACCATTATAACTTACAATTATAACTTTCATTTTTGGACTATTCTCACTATAAAGAATGTTTGAGATTGTCTATAAATTAATTTATGTAATTACTCTTAAAATGTGATAATTATTAAATTTAAAATTCAAATTTTAGCACAATCATTTTCTTATTCTTAAATTATAATCTCCTTTATAAAAAAAAAAATTGAGATTATAATAATAAGCATAAGCATGTTTCTGCAATATCTTCAAAGCAGGTTTTAAGTTGTCCCCATATCCTTGACTTTGTGATTAAAGTGTTTGATATAAACATAAGGATTTGGTTTCGGACCAAGAGCTCTCCTCTCCCAAAGTGATACTATGAAAAAAAAAATGTAGGTTTTAAGTATGGTGAGAAAGATCGAGGTGGTCCCAACTACTCTGCATCCAATGCAGGGTGGCCCGGAAGAGGGATAAATTAATCTTATGGGGTCTTTGCATAATTATTGAGAGGAATAATGAAGGAAAAGCTTGATGGGAATTGGAAAAGAAGTGGGCATGATTTCAGGAGAGGGTCATTGCAGTGGCACAGCAGATAGTGTAGGCTTGCAGCAACTAGCAACTCTACCCATGTGCACAAACCTTCCTACTTAACAATGACACTTTTAAATTGAATGATGCTAACTTTGATTATTGGCTGTATTTATTTTAGTTTTGAGTGGCTTCCCACATACCAAACGCTAAAGAAGAAATGAAGGCTAGCTGCAATCCCGAGAAATGAGATAAAAGCCATTGCACGAGGACTAATTCAATTGATTTAAATAAAAAAATAATTAAAATAACTTCATTTTATATAATTTGAAGGTCAAATTTATCACTATACTTAGAAAAGTATATACTAAAAAAAATCATACCCTTCACTCAAAGAGCGTGAACTATAGGGAACGGATGGGGCTCGGAGGGACGGGCATGATTTCGGTAGGGTATTTTGATAAAGCCATTAAATAAAATTTTAAATTAAAAATTTAAATCATTAGATTAAAAAGTCTCTTTAAATAAATTAAACGTATTCACTTTTTTTAAAAAATAATAAGTCGATAACTTTTTTATAAATATTTTTATTAAAAATTTTAATAGAGTTTTTTTATTAAATAAGTCTTAAAATTTTTTAATTGTAAACTATATTTTTAAATATTTTATATATTACTTATTTTTATTAAATTCTATTAATTTATAAATTTTAATTTTTTAAATAATTAATTATTTATTTATTTTTAATAAAAAATTCATAAATTTTACCTAAAATCTCTATCTTATGTTATATTTGGTTAGATATTAATAAAGGAAAGAAAAATAAAGGTAAGAAAAGGAAAAATTAAAAAAAAAAAAGAAATGATACATATACCCATGTTTAGATAATTAAAATGAATAAAGAAAAGAAAAAGAATATTAATATAATATTTTTGGTTAAAGAGTGAAAAAGAAAAAAGAAAATGATTCATTATATTTATTTTTTCAAGTACACCCAAAATATTTAATACATATCATAGGAATAATCTAAAAATTAATTGTTTTAAGTAAAAATAAATAAATAAAAGAAGTGTTATTTTATTAATCCCTAAAATAATGTAGATTTGAAATTATTTCTATGCAATTATACTTTTTTCAGAATTAATTCCATTGAAAAAACTTTATAATTTAAATGTCTTAGTAAATAAAATTAATTATAAACTTATATTAATATTTTCTTATAAGTTTAACAAGCTCCATTAATATAGGTATAATTTATGTAATTGTATATATTTTTCATGTACATTTTTTTTCCAAATTTATAAAATAATAATAAAATATAAAAACAATATAAAACCCAACATAAATTAAAAAAAATAAAGAATATGATTATATTTTCTTTATAGACAATTGGCAGTTACCTAAAACAATAATAATTTAAAATTTTATTTTCATATAAAATAAAAAATATACTATAAAAGAAAATGAATAAAAATTGTACATAAAAATAAATTTAAAGATTATAATATAATAAGTTGATGAAAGTTACAAAAATGTAAAATAAGTAAAGATACGAGTTTGAGATTGATAGAAAAGTAAATTTTAATATTATTTGTACAGCTTATTTTTAAAAATTAAAGATAATAATAAATAAAAATTTTATGTTATATGTAAAATATTTTATTTTTTCTTTTATTTGTTCTTTAATTTTGGATAATTATAAAATGAAACTTTGGAAAGAAAAAAAAAAGGGGTGTTCAATTCTTTTTCATTATTTTATTTTAATTTAAAATAAAAACTAAACAATACAATTATTTTATTTTATTTTATTTTATTTTCTTACTCTCTCAATCCAAATATGGGCTAAATTAATTTTATTCGGGAATGATATCGGAGGATTCGAGGAATCAAAAAGTTCCCTCTGTTTCCCTTTGTTTTCCAGCGACCTGCACACAGAGATGCTTTTCTCTCGCCCAACAAAAAGCATTGCTGGTTGAAAAGCTGTCGTCATTAATTTCGGTTTTGCACTTAATCTTGCGTCTTCTTTTTACTATTGTGCCTTATTTTGGGTTCAAAATACTATTGGTGATGAGAAAGAACTAATCCTGTTCATTGAAATGATTGCTAAAGGGTGAAAGAAGTTTAACAGCTATGTCTGTAAAATACTAAATTTTTAATTTTAATAATTAGATTCAGATATGCTCAATTATAAAAAAAAATCATAAAAAGAAGGAAATAGGGTAAATTTCATATATTTTTAATTATATATATAAATTTATTATTTTCTGATTAAAATTTTGATTAATTCAATTTTCAAATAAAATTAATTAAAAATTAATAATTTTTAATAATTGATTAAAATTAATTTGATAACTAATCAAATTTTAAAGTTCAGTTTTACCCACATCAACTGGGATTCGATTGGGCAAATTTGATATCGAATATTTCTTTTCTTGAGGACGTTTAAGTCGTCATATTCTTTATAGTAATTCTTTTCTTGAGGAGATTGGTCAGGAATCAATTGGTATCAATTTTTTTTTTCATTGGGCCAAAGATAGAAAAACTAGGAAAAAAACAAAGAAAGAGCTATCATTTATTGCCTTAGCAGAACAAAGAGAGCAATGAGACGAGAAGAAACTTTTGTTTACCTTAATAGAAATTCAGAACAGAGAGAGCAATGAGAAAATAAGAAATTTCACAGAGCAATGAACTTTAGAATACCTGTTGTTGCATAACATTGGAGGAAGGTTTTCACATGTGCAAATATGGCGAACCATATAATCTCTGTTGCAACAGAACAGACTAACTAAATAGATAGGTTTCCTTTCATGCACAAACTGATCAACAAGGAACAACATTCACATGAAAAGACATTCATCAGCATCCACGTCCAGAGAAAGAAATGGAAAGATTAACATAAGAATTTTAATTCTCATAAAATTTAGCATATTGCACTCAGGGCATGTCAAATTCTGATTCTTAAGTCATATAGCCAACTGAAAGGTAAGAGGGGTTCCACGGGTACCAGCCCAAAATCTAGTGGCCATACTTTTGGAACTCCCACTCACTATTATCTGCAAAAACAAAACAATGAAGACATTAACACTATGCAGTATGAAAAGATGAGATGTACAAAATATCCAAGTCAGATAAGGCACAGGGAGACGAAAAGCATACCCAATGGACACACTTGACGAGTTTTGAGCCATCGGCTGATGCAATGGAAGTGAAATGCATGGTTGCAAACCCCTATATACACAAACAGCACTTAAATATTGAATTGATCATGCTGAAGCTAGAGTGCAGATCAGGAATATTATAGTTTGTGTTTTCTTTAAAAAAAAAGTCGGATAAGTTTACTTGATCACATTTCAACACATACACATTTGTATGTAAGATAAGTAAGAACTGTTTCAGGTAAGGCCATAAAACCCCAAGACCAAACAACATCAATTGACAAGCAAATATATTAAAGCTGTCATGTTCTTTATGTTATCATCCACATGATTCAATAGTTTCTTCAGACTATATATGAATCTTAAGAAGTAAAATGAACTGCAATTTAACAACTAGTTTCTGTAGCACTTCACTTAGTGCAGTCATGGAATTCTATTCACATTTGATGCTAAAAAAATGTAGGGTTCAACAATTTTGGTTAATTACATATAACCACTGAATGAAGAGCAACCAATATAGTTAATATACTTGGCCCAGCCCAAAATAGAGAAAATAATCAGACAGTTTTTGGATGCAAAATAATCTAACATTGTACTAAAAGTGCACTCAAATCAAATGCATTTAAGAAAACCACCCCACAGGTCAACTTGCTTATGTAGGTCTGCTTACAGCACAACCTAAAAAATAATGCATCTGGATGCCACAAGGTATATATTATCGAAGGCAAAGCATTAGAAATTGAAACAGGATAGCCCCCATCAACTTAATTGATTCATTACCATAAGCATCGTAAAAGCTATAGTCATTGGATATGTTCTTCTTAATAAAAACATAAAAAGCATCATCATAATTACTTCAAACCTTACAACTAATTTGTTCTCTTCTATACCCAGACAAGAACACTCACTCCTCTACTTCACAAAATCAACAACTAAAAGTTCAAAATTGAGTTAAAATCTCAACCCTTGTGTTAGGTATAAAGTATACTCAAACCAACAACCTAGCACTAATCCCCAAAGTAAATAATGCATACACAACCCAAAATAAACAATTGCTATATGTTTTAACAGTACTTCTTTGTAACCCTAACCGAATTTTAAGAATTCCCGAGTCAAACACTGAGATATAACTTTCGAGCATATATATATGTATATGTACATGTATATGTATATACATACATATACATATATGTATATATATATATATATATGTGTGTGTGTGTGTGTATAGATATATAGGTATATATATATATTTCAAAGTCAATTGTATAATCTATTAATCCCCAACAATGAAGCATGCCTAAGACATTACCATATAGTATAATTCAGTCAGCGTAAAGTTTTGGAGGTGATAAAAGAAATACATACCCCAAGCAACAGTGCATTCCTCACTGGTGGCGCTGGCTTGGTTGGCTTGGCATTCGATGCCTGAACAAACAAGTTAAATTAAACATTTAGAATTAATAAACCAAGAAAAAATAAAACCAAAATCGTAAATCGAACAAAAAAATAAAATCAAGACAGAAAGACTCACAGAGATCCATGATGTGATTCCTGCAAATTGCACAATTATCCACAACAATATCTGCATCCATCAACCAAATCAGCGAAAAAAACGTTAATTTTAAGATAGAAAATATATAGAGGGAGGAAGTGGGTTAGGGTTAGGTACCCCAGGCCCAGAGCGCAACAGCACTCCACTTTTTGATCTCGAAGCGCTTGGGCTTCTTAGAGGAGGATGAAGGAGCACTGCTACTGGAAGCCTCGCCGACGGGGACCATCGGGACATCGGAATCTAGAGTAGCCATGGCTGCGATCGAACAGCAAGGGCAGGCAGAAAATCTCTTTTCCTTTTGCTTTGGGGCAGAGGTAAAGTCAGGCGAATCGAAGAGAAAATAAGACGCGCGTGTAAGCTCGAGCGTGTTGTTTAAAAAAAAAAACTTGGAAATTATTAATAAGTGGGTGTGTTTGGGTTCGGATTTATACATAGGCTGCGTTAAGTCCCCAACTCCTATGCCGACTAGGAATGCTACGAAAGTAGGAAAAATATTAGGTTACAAAATAAAATTATTTAAATTGTGTTTCATTTTGCTTTATTTATATATATAAGGCAAAAAATGACTAAAAACAAAGGTAAAAAATATATTTAAACATTAATTTTAGTTTGTATTAAACTATCTATGAATTAAATCCGATTGAACCAGATTCGGTTAACTTTTTAAAATCATTTTTACAATTTGGCTTGGTCAATTGAATTTAAGAGATTGTAAATTTTTAAAAATATATTAAAATATTTAAAATTTATTTAGTTTTAAATATATTTTTAAAATATTTTTATTAATAATTTAATATTTCAAATTATACCTGACTCAAATTCTGAAATCCATAAGGCTAAAATTTAAATTTGATTAGGTTAACAAATTGAATAAGTAGTTTGACTTGTATAGAGGTCTAGTTTGCATAAGTAAAAAAAAAAGATTTTTTAATTTTACATTATTGTTGTTTCTTTTATTAATTTACTAGTATAATTTTTAATCAAATATGGTTTTGATTTATTATCAATTTATTTTTTATTTTATTAGAAAAGATTGAGAAACAGCAAAAGCAAATTCTTCAAGATTTATTGAGTACAATTTAAAACTCATAAGTTGGATTTTATGAGATGAGAAACGGTTATTTGGTTTAATTATAAAATCAAAATCTAATGAGTTTGAATGTGGTATTTATAGTAGTAGAGCATTAAAATTAGTCTCTTTTTAAATTATCTCTAAAATAATGGCAAAATATGCTGCTTCATTAATTATTATTATTTGAATGCTTAAATATGTTATATGTTAGCAAATAGAATGAAATTTTTGCATGCCATCAATAAAATTTGGAAAAAAGAATAATTTAATTTATTTGGTGGCTATAACAAAAGGAATATTGATTGTGATGTATCAATCTTATATTAAAAAAATATGTGGATGTATTATAATATATAAGTAGAGATCTAATTTTAAATTTATGAAACGTTTCTTATAAGATAAAATCGTATAATTTTTTAGTTAAAATGAACAATATCATGTAAATTAGATGTGAGTTTTAACAAATAATATCAGAGCAGTTATCAGTCGACAAAAATCAAATGCTACACGATAGAGCTATGGGAGTAATTAAATGCCTATACAATGAAGTCATATGAGTTATTAAGTATTACACGGTGAGGAGTCACTTTTAGAATATTCACGTCTAAGATTTAATGTTACACAATAGAACCGTATTAGTCATTAAATATTATACAATAGAGAATTATTTTTAGAATTTTCACATCTGAAATCTAATCTCAAACTTATGAAATATTTTTTATGAGATAAAATTATAAAACTTTTAGATCAAAATAAATAATACCTTATAAGTTTGAATGTAAATTTACTCAAATAAAAATTTTGGGCATGGAAGAAGTTCATGGATTGGCAACACCAAGAAAGTTTCCACTTGTTGCAGTCGTGGAGCCCCGTCTCCTATTTCATTCATATAAGATCTAAATTCCACATAAATCCTTATTTTATGTACTTTTCTACATGGTTTCCCCACATATAGCGTCTCCTCTGGTACACGTGAGTGGTTTTGTCATCAGGCATGTTTATATCCTCTTTAGCTGTTTGATTGAAATGCCAACGTCTCTCGCTGACTGCGAACAATAGATCAAATAGTGGAGGAATCACGGTTGAAATGCCGGTTTGTTCCTGGCATTTTTTTAGACCATAAACGTATAGATATTAATGTGTTAGTCTCAGAGTTGCAGATTCATGATAATTGATATCTTGGTGTCTTTCACAATCATATTTGTACCGCTGAAATAGAAATAATGGACGCCAGAAGTCAAGTCAGGCAGCTAGGGAATTTGATGGCACATCTCGAAACAAGCATATTTATTCAGGATCGAAATAAAAAGTTTTTAATTATTACAGTTAATCAAGGTATATGCTTTATAAAGTGTTATTCGCAATGCCAACGAATGCTTTTCTTGCACTCTGCCTGGCTAACTTTGGGGCTTGCCCTGTTCTCAACCTCAAGAGTAAAACTTTATGATCACTCTTCTTCTTGCAAAAATAAAAATCAACGACAAAATTATTTGCCAGTAGGTCAGGGAGATTTGTTGCTTGGAGTTTGTCTGTTCTTCTCTCATTTCTCCCATTTTCTTTTGTTTGGATTGAATCTTTGTCTCATTTTCAATTAAAAGAAAATCGAGAAACCAACTTAAAACACGGATTTGATTGTATATCTGAGGACAATATGTTCTCCCTTAATTATTGGCGATGGCATATCATCAATCATGCACAAGGCTGCTAGCCCGCTACTTAATTAGACAAATAATTGAATTAGGAAATAGTAGTTTAGTGGGATTTGATTCCACGTTGTTTCAATGCTGAGCTGTGTATTTGACAATTTTCAATATTTGCTTTCGTGATCAACATAGGTTGGTGATTAACCATTTTTGAACTAGTCTTTTGCTTGATAAACAATTAAACTCGGCCCATTCCAGATACAATTCAAGAAAAAAAAAACAAAATACGAAAATTCTTGTATTTGAAAGAATCAATGGAAGTAAACAAGCCTTTCTTCAAGAAAAAAACTTTACACTCTTAAAATTTCCATAGTGTGAAATCCAAGGATATCTCTAGTTAATGCCTATTTACAGTTGTGTTAGTCTATACTCTATGGTTCCCTAGATTTATGGTGCAGGGGAGAATTCAACCCATTTCTACGATTTTGTTTTAGAATGTTGCTTTCCGAGTGAAATGGAGACATCCTTGGTGATCTGTTTTGATGCCTATTGCCATGATGGAGTTTGTGGTTTTTGTGATAATGACCATTCTCTTTCTTTAAGTCCTTTTTAGATTCATATTCCTTAGTTTGCTTGTCCTCCTTTGACGAACCACTTTCGGTTGGAACCGTATAAACAAAGGGACCAATTGGGATGTCTTCATAGTCCTGAAGGGGCTCCAAAGTCTTGACCACATCACTCATTTTTGGTCTTTGCTTTGGCCGGTGACTAAGGCATTGATAAGCTAATGCAGCTGCCTTTCGTGCCCCCATTTCCGAGTATTGGCCTTCCAATCTAGGATCCATTATCCGTCCAAGTTTCCTAAGATCATTCAACATTGGCCTTGCCCATTCTGCTAAGTTCTGTTCTCTTTGGGAACGGCTCTTGTCTAAAGATCTTCGCCCTGTTAAAAGCTCCAGAAGTACCACTCCAAAGCTATATACATCACTCATTGCCGTCAAGTGACCTAAAACAACAGTTACAATTATGAGAATATGAGAAATTAATTAGGCGAAAACTATATGAATCAAAATGCTGTACCTGTCATGATGTATTCAGGAGCAGCGTAGCCTTGTGTCCCCATAACCCTGGTGGAAACATGAGTGTCATCTCCTTCAGGGCCATCTTTTGCCAGACCAAAATCTGAAAGTTTGGCAGTGTAATCCTGAAAAAGAAACATGAATGAAAGCGTAACATCAGTAAATGAAGAAAACCCATGTTTCAATTCTATAGGGACAAGTTTTTTGAGGTAGGCAAGAACTTAAAAAAGCAATACTTACTGAGTCTAACAGTATATTTGACGCTTTAAAATCTCGGTATATGACTGGTTTTTCGGCTTCATGGAGATAGGCGAGACCCTTTGCAGCTCCAAGAGCAATTTTCATCCTTGTCGCCCATGGAAGAGAAACCGAATACCCTGCACGCAAGCAGATTGACATTAATTTCTTTTATTGTTTGTATAAACAAAATTTTTCTAAAACAGAATTAATGCTAATTTACACAGAGAACATACTTCTAAATAGCTGATTCTCCAAGCTGCCTCTAGGCATATATTCATATACCAGTAGCCTATGCTCGTCTTCGCAACAATATCCGATCAGCTTCACAAGATGTGGATGCCTCAATTGTGCAAGAAAGATCACTTCAGTCTGTTCCAGAAAGAAACATTTATTAATTAACAAATCAAACTTCCAGCTGAAATAAGCATTAGAACAAATGGAAATTCAGGAAACAGAGCAATTAATGTCCAAATGTAATGCAAGCAAAATTGATTGAAACCACTCACCAGCCACTCTCTATGTCCTTGCAGGCCTTCTAAATCCAGGAGCTTAACAGCTACAGGCTGAACTTTCAATCCAGGCCTAAGCTTATCATCAATGAACCCCTTATGAACCGGTCCAAACCCACCTTCACCCAGAAAGTTAGCTGATGAAAAGCTCTGTGTTATCACCTTTAGCTCCCCAAGCGTAAAAACATGAAGGTTTGAACCGGCAAGAGATGTAGACAGATCCTCCGAAAGCATCGAGCTAGGATAACTTAAGTCTAACATAGCAAGTCTGGTAAATGAACTTTGTTTTGCAACTTCCTTCTTAGGCTTGGCTTCTGGTTTCACAGCACCCTTGGAAAAACAGCATGGGATGATGGATCTCCAAGTAATTTTTATCACAGTCATTTTTTTTTTTTTTGAATCTAGTACAATTCTACGAACTCACTTCTTCAATCTTGTATCGACGTATATAGGATCCAAAACTAGACGATTATCCGTGGTTGTTGGTTAGGTAATGATTTGAAAGAAGCAGAAAATTAGGTTAGAAGATATTAGAAGATGGTGAAGAATGAGCAATGGTTTGGAAGGAATTTAACAAGGTTTGAGGAAGGGAGGTTAAAGATTGACAATATTGAAATACCAAATCAACGACCGCTCTGAAAACCCGACCAAGAGAAAGAGGTTTGCAACTCCTTTTTTTCTAGTTTTCAACACCCTTTGATTTTTTCTTCGTTATCATTCTAAACAACATAAATAAATGGAATTCTTCCAAGTTCCACGCTTCTTAATAATTTATAGGATTTTAGACATTGTTATATCATTTGAATAATCGGTAAATCGAATCGACAAAATGACGCGGCTGCCCCGGCTCCCTTGACTTTCCTCTTCCCATAGTGAAAAAGAAGATAGGAAAATTAGAACTTTGTTTTTTTTGGCCTTTGGAATGTTCCATCTGTATGAAAGCACATGCTATAATGCAAGACTTCTTTTCGTCTGGCTATAAACTCGAAACTGCTTGTTGTATTCCAAAATTAACTGCAGGTAACAATTTATTTTCTGATAAAACGAATTAAAAAATGTGGGTTTAATTTAAAAGAATAACATTTGGTATTAATCTTGAGAATACCAAGCTATTACATACTAAAATCCGCAGTCAGAGACAATTTCATCAAATTTGAAAGAGGGGTTTTTTTTTTTTTTTTCATTTTTTACAAAGGAAAGAAAGAGATTGGTATGCTTGCAATAATATAAAGTTATGTCTTTTAGGGTTAATTTAGCATTGAGTTTTTTAAAAGTTGTTTTTTATCCAATGGTATTAATGTTAAGCAAAAAACAAAGAAGGTGATTTTTGCGATTAAAGGTATGATATGCAAATCCAAATAAAAAAATTATTAAATAATTATTTTTGAGATTCAATCACAATTTTTTGGGTAAAATAATTTAATTTTTATTATTTTATGCAAATATTTTTAAAATATTTCAATGCAATATAAAACTTTTTATAACAATATAAAACAATAAAATCTTTAAAACATATTTTCTTATTACATTTTTAAACAAACTTTTTCAACTCAAAATTTTTTTTCCTAAGTGCAACAACAGTTCTAAACTGCCTTATATATAAAAAAAAAAAAAGTTCAAAAGATTTACAAAATAAAAGTATTAATTTTTGTTGTAGATGGGTGACATGATGAAAATATTCGGTATGCATGTCGATTAAACTACACGAGGATCATCACAACCGCGTAAAAAGTGGACTTTTATCCCCTTCCGATGGATTTGACGGCAATGATTTTTACTTGGAGTTGACCTTGGATATATCATATCAAGCGTGTCCAGAAAGCTGGTGGGTGAGGGATCAGCTTATTATCTTACTATAAACGTTGTTTAATCTTGTTCGTGCTTCTATCCAGAACTAAAAGTTAAAAAATCATATTTGTAACAGACGGAACCTTGGCTTAACAATAATGAAGAGAGATTGTAATTTTGAGGTCATAAATTTAAATTTTTATTACGTGTGAATTTAATTGTTTAATTATATTTTAATTTATTAATTAATTATTAATGATATATTTTATAAGAATGTAATAATAATATTTGGTTATTATTATAATTTCTCTTATGTTTTTAATTTCATAAAAAAAAATTAGATTGCCAATGACATTAGAGCTTAGACCCCTCAATCCTATCATGGTTGTGGGTCTAAAAAATGAAAATATATTATTTATAATTATTTTAGTATAATTAATTAATTATAATTCAAAATTGTATGATAGCATCAAATTTTCTTATAGAATCCATATTTATGAGTAACGAATCCTTATATAATTTTTAATATAATTAAGTAATAGTATAATTGTAATAAAAAATTATAAATGAAATGCTCTTCTAAAAATAACTAAGAAATAATCTTGTCAAGAATTACTTTCAATGCATTAGTGTTCATGAAAAAATTCGGAAAAAAAAAAGATACAAAATTTTTTTTGAGATAGAACCTTGGCCAAGTTGCAATTTAAAGCGTAGTATTTAATAATTTGTACCACACAAATTTATGCATGTGATTAAGATTTAGAAGAGAGGGACTTTGCTTAAGAGAAAAGAAAGGTAAAAGTAGGGTTGGTATCGTATCGGATTCGAAGCAAGTTTTGCTCGCTTCGAATTCGATCCGATTTTACTTGTTATTAAATTCGAATTTGATTTTATTTAAAATTTTTTTTATTTTTTCATACCCAAATCTGATTTTTATCCGATATTATATAAAATCGTACTTGACTCGATCCGACTGAAAATTAATAAAATATTATTTTTTAAATATAAATATTTAAAAATATCATTATATATATAAATAAAAAATTAAATAATTAATTAAAAAATAATTTTTTATATAATATTAGGTTGGATCAAGTCGGATTTGTCTAAAATTCGAATCTGATCTAACTTTAATTATTTCTTAACTTTATTCGATATGACTCAAAATCTGAATTAAAAAAAAAAATCAATCTTATAAGATCAGATAAAAATTCATCGGAGACAGATTGGATTGCTAACCCTAGATGGGAGGGTTCTCATGTCTTAATCCTTCAATCCATGAAAATGATGGAAGCGGCAAATTTGTCAATGAGGGAGTCGGTGAGTGATATGAGAGAACAATTCGTCATGTCGTCACCTTAAGGAAGTCAATGGGCAATTACGACCGCGTTTTGCTTGAATGAAAGTCTATTTTGGACTTGATCCACGCGAGGAAAATACAAATACATACTAATAAGTAGTTATTAAAGAAATCAAATGAAATAAATTAGTATTGAATTTCCATATTGCATGGGTATTGCCTTTCTGATTTTTCTTTCCCAAAGCTAATTCAAAACAACTCGATCTAGAGACTGCTTTCTTTGATTTTGCGTATAAAAAAAATGTTGTAGACATTTTGAAAATTGTACACCATTTGTTGTCTTAAATGGCAGTTGAATAATATAATTAAATGGGAAAATTATGTAAATGAATCAAATATAGGAATATAAAAAAATTTTGTTATGTTATTGATCTGTTTGTTTAATTAATCAATTTTAAAATATTATTTTTAATCATTTATTAAATTTAATGAAAGAATATAAATAAATAAAAATCAAATTTATTTAACTGTTTATCGAATATTTTATTTATTTACATATGAGGTTGTAAAAAAATTGAATATAAAGTAATTTTATTATTTTAGTAATTTATTCATTTAATTAATAAATCGTAAAAATATTATTTTTAATCATGTATTAAGCTTAATAAATAACTATATATAAATAAAAAATGACTTTATTAACAAATTACTCGTCAAATATTTTATTTGGTTGTATTCTTTTTTTTTCCCTCTACAAGTTAATTAAACAGGTCTAGTTTTCATTGATAACTTAGGATAGAGTGGCAGCAGTTTGAAGAAAAATTTGTAATAATTAGCCGTAAAATTGTTGTGTTTTGAGGTTAATTCTAGTTTTACAGTTACTTTAAGGTCAAGAAATTAGGATGAACAAATCAATCAAACTACAACTGCTTCACCTTCCCTTTATGGAATTTGTCCGAACATTCAAACACCAAATTTTTGAAAAAAAATGAACTTCTTAATTATATCCAACATTGACTCTTCTAATTGAGTTTATTGTACAATGATTAAAATTTGTCATCATTTACTCCTTGAATTTTCAAGAGTCGATGGACTAACATGATAAGATAGAGACGAAACTAATTGCATTAGATTTGCAATTAGGAGTTTTAATTGGACATGGCATGCAAATTCTCAGGATTAGGACGACATGTCTTAGATGGTTGACATTTTGTCCCCGAATCCTTCAATCTTCATTATCGTACTGTGCAGGCAAAACTTGTCCGATTTGCTCTTTATTATAGATAAGATTCCCTAACTATAACATGATTAAAGGCGAAAAATAAGCTAACTACAGCTGACAGCTTCATGGAATTTCATTTGCAAGTGACTGTATTTTTTTTTTTTCAGTTGAACAACCAAACAAAGGCAACGATATCTTGCCAGTTTTGGAAAATTTTACTTCTAGCCTCTTTAAATTCCTTAAAAAAAAAAAAGCAAATAAAATAAAACAAAATTTTGGGTTGTTTGGGATTTTGAAAACGTGGAAAGGAATGATCTTAAAATAGAACAAGTGTGAAATTTGGTTGGGTTTTAGGAAGTTAAAGATCCTTATGTACGTCTTACGTAACAAGGTATGAACTGAAACATGTTAGAAAACAATTAAGAGAAGGAGAAAAATATGACAATCCAGCGGAGAATTAATGGAGGAGATCCTACGGAGTCAAAGTCAATCTTTCAATGGCGTTCGGTTTTTCTGACTGATATACAAGCTTTCGCCGTGTGAGTGGAAAGTTGGAAACTATGGATTCTATCTTCTGAACCCTTCAGGCTTCAGGTTTCAGCCTAAAGAGTTTGGCTTCGTCTTAAACGCGTACGTGCAGCAATTTGCGAACTACTAGACCTACTAGTAGTAGCAAAGATTTTGCACCAAGGTAGGTTGTTGGCTTGGTTCCCGTCAGCGCTTGCTGCTTGTTATGAGCCCACCTTATATATAATCATGATCGGATATATGATGTCATGAGCCATATTTATATAGGATCATGATCAGAGATGTTAATGGAAGAGTAGATTTCATATGCTAATGTTCCCATTTTAAATAGTTTTTAATAGTATAGTTATAAAAATTTTTAAGCTTTTTTAGAAGAGATGAGCAATCAATTTATTATTAGATTATTTCACTAATTAAAATATGTATTAGATCACTCATTTAAGATTGCCTCTTTTGACCTCGATAATGGTAAAAAACTTTATATTTCTTTTGTAATTGAAATCTTATCAAAATTAATAAAATATATATTTTTTAAGATAGCAAAAGTCAACTTGATATGCACCCATTACATTTCCATATTTCGTTACCTATTTTTGAGATTAATTTATAACTTATTTGTTGCTTGTTCAAATATCAAATTATCTTAATGACTTATATATATATATATATATATATGAAAATATCCGTTCAAATGGCGTACAATCTATAAAATAAAGCTTAATCCGGTGACACTGCTCTGCACAGCCCGTGTTAGCCATCTCGAGTATCGAACTGTACAATCAGAAAGCCTTTTGCGAATACTGGACCCCGTAAAGGGCCTGATGTCAATTGAGAGAGGAGTGGGCAACCCATGTTTTGATTCTCATACCAAGGAAAGGACACACATTGCTCCTGCGCATCCCGTGTTAGGCATCTCGACCTTTACAATCAGAAAAGACTTTGCGCATACTGGACCCAGTAAAGGGGCTGATTTCAATCGAGATAGGAGTGGATAACCCAAATTATGTTTTGATGTTTTGATTCTCTTACCAAGGAAAGGACACGCGGTGCTCATTGGGCCCAGTAGGTGGAAAAACCACAGTGGCTTTTTAAGTCATTGGCTCATTGTTGCACAATTAATGTCGGCCTAGATCTTGCATGCTTGGCTAATTGGCCCCATTAGGAAATAATTTTATTTTTTCAATGCAAAACCTTGCTTTTTAACTTATCTTAGAAAGAAGTGGTGGATAAAAGAATGATATTCCTTTGAAAGCTGCAAAACTTCAAATTCAGTCACTATTTTAATACGTTAAAATCAAACTTACATTTGAAACGCATCATTGTAGCCAACTCTGACAATTTTCAATGGATTAAAAAAAAAAAGAAAAAGGAAAGAAGTTTATGGGTCAATATTCTCCACATCCAGAAATGAGCATACATTTTTGGAATGTGAAGGAATCTAAATTGCTGATTAGTGCCCCTGTCCACTGCAAGTGGGTGACTTGTTTCCAACCAAATGATTCCTAATAATTAGCCTGGATAGCTCGTTAATGATGACGTAAAAGTATCTCCTCTACAATATTTGTCCATATATTTCTTTGTCCACACTATCCTTTGTTCTCTTTTTGAATATAAAATGCGCCTGAGCAATAAAATTTTCCATTGGTTTGATATTTCTTATATATGCCTATAAGATATTCCATTGAAACTGGTTATCAAATAGAATACGATTTTTTTTTATCAGTTTCATTTATGACCATAATTATGATGGTTCGTAAAGCATGTGAGGTATTTACATAAATATATCATCAAAATCCATCTCTAAGCAATTACTCTTTTTATAATAAAAAATTATCCTATCCTTTTTATTATTATTATTATTATTATTATTATTATTATTTGTTGGGGAAGATGGAGTGGGCAGAGGATGGGGATGGGATGGGAATGGCTTATTTCTTCAACTATAAAACAGCAAAAACAATAAAGAGGAAGTACACAGACACAAAAAAAAAAAAAAGTGGACATTCTGGTTCATTATGGATTGCTTGGGTCCAGGTTTACGTACGTGAGGGATGATCATTCTGGCAAGTTCCACTTAATCAGGGGAGCAGTTGGTGTTGGACAAAACTTCTCTTCTGCCTAGGCACAAAGTACTTCGGTTCTTGCAACAGTCAGATGGAGAGCTTGCTTGGCCCTTTTCTGGAAGTGAGATGTGACAGATTAATATGGTCTTCTCTCCATAGTCAGATGCATGGAGCTATATCCTAGGTGGCTATTCTGATCAGAATATTATGAACAGACTGCAAATCAAGGATAGACCTAGTTGGTACGTATTGGGGAATAGCTATATATAGATGGTACCTGTGTAAGTGAATTGCAGTCAGATGGAGAGCTTAATCAGAAGCTGAGAAGCAGGCAACTGAATTGCAGGCACTGAGGTGTATCAAAGAGGCTGTTGGACGCATTATAAGCTTGAGGAACCTCCGCAGATTCTGTCAATCTCTGCCATTCATGGAGCTTGAATTCTTACATACTTAATGATTGTTTGGTAGATCTTAGTTGTATTTAGTTGACGAAGGAAGACAGTGAACTTGTAGCAGTTTATCTGCTATACTTGGATAAATAAAATTATTGCTTATCCAAAAAAAAAAAAAAAGGTGGACATCGAGATTGAATTGTCTTAATTTGTAGTTTACTTGAATTTTCTGTTTTAGTTGAGTTGGGGGTGAGATGGAGATTAATCCATGTCAAAGTTTCTGATTATGTCTTCTTCCTTAATTTTCCTGTTTAATCTCAAAACCAGTGCAATATCAACGTTCATAGCCTTGATAATTTTGGTTGCAAAGTAAAGCTAACAACTCAACTTTTTCCCATTTCACCAACTTTTGTAAAAAAAAAAAGACATTATGCCGTGTCCAAACCATCACGTTATTTAAATAGGATATATTACATAAAAGCTCTTTGCAAACAAAGGAACACAAATGCCTTCCATGTGACAATATTTTATTGCATATTGGTCAACAAAAACCAAAATATACTACCAATGAGAGCTACCAAGGAAGAAAAAACAAGAACCCAGAATAAGTTTTTTATGGAACACAAAAATGTTTCTATGGTTTTGTTTTAAATACATTGATTATGCTTATTTATTTGATTTTTTTTTGTCAAAGCTTTTTTATTTATTTGTTTTGTGAAAATTAGTAAGTTGGAATTTTTGGGAGTTTTAAAACAAACACGGGAAACACGTGCCCAAAAACAATTTAATATTTAATTTATTTACCCAATTGGTCAATCCAACTGTCCTAATTATTCGAATCAACTACGTCTCCGCTTTAAATTTCTCTCCACAAAAATAGCCTGACAGCAACAGAAGCAGGGAATCAGACAGAGAGAGAACCAAAAGAAAGATAAAAAAGTCATGTCTCGCTTGACGTTGGTGTCCTCGATCATCCTTCTGATATGCTGCGCCACCGCAGCATCAACTTTCGAGGACTCCAACCGTACCCGGATGGTATCCGATGGTCTCCGTGGCTTCCAGTCCTCTGTTCTTCGTGTCATCGGTCATACTCGTCAAGCTGTCTCCTTCGCCCGTTTTGCTTACAAGTAATCGATCATTTCATCATGGACGGTTATCTTAATCCTTACTTTTGTTTTCCGTAAAAAAAAAAAAAGTGAAAATTGATATGAAATTTTGGGTTTTTTGTTTTTTGTTTTTTTTTGGTTTGTTGGTTAGGCATGGGAAAAGGTACGAGAACGTGGAGGAGATGAAGCTACGATTTCAGATTTTCAAAGACAATTTGGATTTAATCAGATCCACTAACAAGAAAGGATTACCTTATACTCTTACTGTTAATCGTACGTTACTTCTTTCTTTTACCCTTTTTTTTTTTAAGGTTTAAAGTTTATTTCAGTGTATATCCGTGGTCTTCTGACGAGTCGAAGGTGTCTGATTCCGACACCTAACTGATTTTTGTTGCAAAGTATGTAAGTTGGCTTTCCTAAGTATGATCTGGATTAGTTCCGTTTAGTTCCAGTATGTTTGCTTACAGGCCAACTTTAGCCTGACACGTTAGCATTAGAGACCTGAACGTACTTTGACTCGATGAAAATTTGAACTAATGATCTTGATTATTGCACTTGCGCTTGATCTTTGATTCTTTTCAACTAAACATGGTTAACTTTTATTCAATTTTGTTTTGTATTTTGTTATGAACTTTTTTGTTTGTTTGTTTGCTTATTGATTAATCGATGCAGAGTTTGCCGATTTGACCTGGGAAGAGTTTCAAAAACTTAGGTTGGGAGCTGCTCAAAACTGCTCTGCTACCACAAAGGGCAATCACCAACTAACGGATGTCGTCCTTCCTGAATCGGTACTTTCACAGGAAAAAACCTCCTACAAATATGAAGATTAAGAATTTTTAACGATGTTTTATTATGATTCATTGTACAATAGGCCTGCCTAATTAACCCGGTAATCAATAATGATTTGAACATGCAACAAATTGTAAAGGATAGTGAGGTGGAATTTATTGAAGTACCAAGACATAACTGATGTTCTATAAAGCTACTTAGTGATAAATACTTGTTAGTGCAGTATTTATAATTAAGCATATAACAAGAAATCTATGAGCCAATATTATTGCCGAATGAATAATAATAAATGAAGTAACAATTGAGGTCTGGCTCAATGGGTGACTCTTCTGCTAAGTTATATCTGCAGAAAGATTGGAGGGAAGCAGGCATAGTAAGCCCAGTCAAAGATCAAGGCCGCTGTGGATCTTGCTGGACGTTCAGGTTAGCTTTCAGTTATGATTAGAAAATGCGTTTTACCAAGCTACTAAGCTTAGCTTGTAAATTTTTCAGTTGAGACGATATGCATTTGCATATTGCAGTACTACTGGAGCTCTCGAGGCAGCTTACCATCAGGCATTTGGGAAAGGGATCTCTCTTTCTGAGCAGCAGCTTGTGGACTGTGCTGGAGCCTTTAATAACTTTGGTTGCAGTGGTGGGTTGCCATCCCAAGCCTTTGAATACATCAAATATAATGGTGGCCTTGATACCGAGGAGGCATACCCTTACACAGCAAAAGAAGGTCAATGCAAATTCTCATCTGAAAATGTTGGTGTCCAAGTCATTGACTCTGTCAACATTACCTTGGTAAGTTCATGCTCTTGATGTCAAATAAACCTTTCTTTCTGGGATAAAGCAGAAAACGGATGACATTCTGACTTGTGGCTGATTTGACTGGTTTATATGGGTTGGTGCTGGCTATTTGTATCATTCTTGTTTTGGATTATTGGTATATGTCTAGTTCAATTTGAGTATTGGCTAAAGCCAAACCTGACTAATGTTCAACTCCAACAAGTGTGTTTATCTCTATTGTTGGTTCATGGTTGTTTTTCAGTGATATAAATCTGAACAGTTCCATTTACATAGCTGTAATTGACTGATCTAATGTGACCCTAACAATTATTGGAATTCAATTTGATCCAAAGTCCAAACAAGTGCCTGGTGAATTTAATGTATAAATCACATATTTCATCTTTTTGAATTTCCTAATCTGTGCAATCAAACACAGGGTTCTGAAGATGAATTAAAGCATGCAGTTGCCATGGTTCGTCCAGTTAGTGTGGCATTTCAAGCTGACATTTTTTTCCAATTTTACAAGAGTGGAGTTTACACCAGTGGCACATGTGGTAGCACTTCTATGGTAAGTTTTTTCTTTATAACTATTATTTTTGTGCTAGGAGTTAGATAAGGTTTTTTAGGTAGCAAGAAAATGATATTTGTTGATCATTTATCTTATGAAGTTATGAAATTTCTAAATATGACCCAAATAGGTTCAGCCTGTAGCGAGGCTTTAGATCCTGGCTTTTTATAATTCCATAGAATTGCATGTATTGCCAGCCTTATCAGCATTTTAGTGGTTATAGCAGAATTCGTGCTTTCAAGATTGAGTTATGAAAGTAGTAAAGAATAAAAGCTTTAACAGTTCATGCCCTTGTTTTTCTTGTCAAAACTGAACCTTTCAATTGGATTGAATGATAGTAAAGCTATGCGAATTGGATTTGCTAATGCCTACATATGTGTGCATGTGTGTGGTTATTCATCATTTGGACTATGATGACATTTTGTCTATCTTGTGCCTACCAAGAACACACATTTATATGATGGATTGATGAACTATGGGCTTATGTGGCAGGATGTGAACCACGCTGTTCTTGCAGTTGGGTATGGAGTTGAAAACGGTGTTCCTTATTGGCTCATCAAGAACTCATGGGGAGCAGTATGGGGTGACAATGGCTACTTCAAGATGGAGTTGGGGAAAAACATGTGTGGTAAGTGTCAACCTCATTGGATTTCTGTGTTGGGCTAAAAGCCTCTAATCCAATTACACTAACGGAAGTGAAATTAAACAATAAATCAAATACATAAGAGACAACAATTTAACGTGGTTCGATCCAATCAACCTACATCCACGGATGAGAAACAAGATTCACTAGTTGTAGAGAATTACAAACATACATCAAATCATCAATCTCACTCAATAATCAATACTCATAAGACACTCTCAATCTCCTCTAGTCCTATAGAGTATTCTCAACTCAAACAAACACAAACTCAAACCTTTGTGCACCTTTTCAACATAACCAAACACATACTCATATGCTCTCATACATCATACCTATGTGGACCCTCTCAGTCACCTCTAGTCCACTCACAAACAAACATACACACCCATAAGACGTAGAGTCCCAATACTCCTATGGGGTGTTTATCCCATAAAATCCTACAACTCTCTTACATCTTTTTCTCATACCTAACCTTGTAGAAACTTCACATATTTATAACCATACAAACTTGCCCATTAAGAATCCCTCTCCTCTTAGAATTCTTCTCTTGTAAGTTAAACTTGCCTATTAAGAATCTCTTTCCTTTTAGAATTCTTCTCTTGCAAGTCAAACTTACCTATTAAAAATCCTCTTTCTCTTAGAATTATTCTTTTGCAAGTTTTCTTATCCATCAAGTAATATCTGACAAATCCCAAACAAATCTCTAACAAATCTCTAACAAATCCCAAACAAATTTCTTATGGGATTTGAGTCAATATTCCTAACAATCTTCACCTTGACTCAAATTTCATCAATCATCTGTCTTTATGCTAGATATGCTTGGCTCCACTTGTAATGGAAGTCTTACAATCATCTTTTCTTCTCTTGTGTCTTCACACTTCATACAAACCAATCATCAATCTTCAAAACTTGAACTCGAACTCTTCTCTTGAATCGAGCTCTTTTTGGACTTGATTCTTCCCATGTCTCAAACCATGCACTTCTCATATCTTAAACCTTTAGTTTTTCCCACATCTCGAACTTTCAGCTCTTTCACGTCTCGAACCTTTGGCTCTTTCCACATCTTGAATTTTTAACTCTTCTCACGTTTTGAACCTTCAGCTCTGATACCACTTGTTGGAAAAAAAACAAACACACACGCTCAGCAACCACACACAAAATAACAAGCTCAAATCAAGAATAAGAACACACAAATATATTTGGTTCGGCCCAATTCAAAATGGCCTACTCCAAACCTAATCCACTATAAAATAAATCTTTACAATTGTGAGACTTTTAGAATGAGAAAAGTCTCCTAAAACTCCTTACTCAAAACTTAACCCCAAACTCAATTACACCCTTTAATAGCCTACTCACTTAGCTATTTTCTTGGTGTCTAACTCTCTGGGGTTACTAAATTAAAATCAAAACATCTTATTTATAAGGGTGAAACCCTTTATACTTTTACTAAACTCTCGATGTGGGATACAAGACAGACTCAAACTCACTTAACTTTCGATGCGGGATTCTGAGATTCAAGGCAAATCGCAACAAATCCTCCCTTGACTTGAATCTCCAAACACTTCAACAGTATCTGCAAAGCTAACATGCTTACCTTTCTTCTTTTCTTTCATCACACGCATTTCAGCAACTGAGTCTCCATCAAACATGTACAAGTGATTGACCTTATTCTCTTGTAGAATCACACTACCATTCTTATACACTTTCAATCAATCATTACTACCATAAAATGTGTACCCCGAGAAGCTAACTCACCCAAAGCAATCAAATTGTAGTGACAATTTGGTACATACCTTACATGACAAAGTGTCCTAATAACACCATTGTGAGATCTAAGACGAATACTCCCAATGCCTTGAATCTGCACTTTTTCTTTGTTAGCAACCACAATATCTCTATACTTTTCATTCTCATTCAACTCCACAAAGTAGCTCCTATCATTGCAAACATGAACTGTAGCAGCTGAATCTAAAACCCAACCTTTATCACTTTTCAAAGTTTGAGTCTCATCCACACAAGTTGTTAAAACAACATCATCATCATCAGACACGACAGCAGCAGTATCACTCTTTTCTTCATCTGATTTCTTCTCATCATTCGCCCTTTTAAAAGCAGTCATATCCCTTCTCAGCTTTCTGCAGCGCACTTGGATATGTCCCTTCTCACCACAATAATAACATTCTATATCACTGTAATCTCTGTCTCTTGACTTAGATCTTCATCTTGATCCATCAATCCTCTTTTGAGTCCTCCCTCGATCAAAACCCTTTACAGCTAGTATACTCTTCCCAGGTGATGAGTTCTGAGCTCTCATAAACCTTTCATTCTCATGCAACAGGGTAGTCACATCATCTAACTTCAAAGTAGATCTGCCCACCAACACAGTCTGAACTAAAGGCCTATAAGACTTGGGTAAAGATGACAGCAAAATTAAAGCCTTCTCTTCATCTTTTAACTCATCAATAGAAATTGCTAGCAATTGAAAAATCAATCTATTAAACTCATTCAGGTGATTATGAAGACTCATACTTTCTTTCATCTTCAGAGAATACAGATCCATCTTCAAACATAATCAATTAGTCAACGATTTCGAAGCATAAATACCTTCAAGCTTATCCCATAAACTTTTTGGAGTACTCTCAGTCAACACACTGTACTTTATTTTTGGAGCTAACGTCAATCTAATAGTACTAACAGCCTTCTTCTGAATCTTATTCCAATTAGCATTAGACATTCCCTCAGGCTTACTACTCTTTAATGCTTGATCCAACCTTTGTTGTACTAACAGATCTTGAATCGTACTTTGTCATAACATAAAATTACTCTTTTCATCAAATAACGGAATCTCAAACTTAGGCATAGACATACCAGACATACCTTTTTCAGACACCTTCAAACAGTGCTTTACGATCCCTTGGGCCCACGAACCTTAAACCTTAAACCTCGCTCTGATACCATTTGTTGGGCTAAAAGCCTCCAATCCAATTACACTAACGGAAGCGAAATTAAATAATAAATCAAACACATAAGAGACAACAATTTAACGTGGTTCGATCTAATCAACTTACGTCCACGGATGAGAAACAAGATCCACTAGTTGTAGAGAATTACAAACATACATCAAATCATCAATCTCACTCAATAACCAATACTCATAAGACACTCTCAATTTCCTCTAGTCCTATAGAGTATTCTCAACTCAAACAAACACAAACTCAAACCCTTGTGCACCCTTTCAACATAACCAAACACATACTCATATGCTCTCATACATCATACCTATGTGGACCCTCTCAGTCTCTTTTAGTCCACTCACAAACAAATATACTCAGTCTCCTTTAGTCCACTCACAAACAAATATACGCACCCATAAGAGGTAGAGCTCCAATACTCCTATGGGGTGTCTATCCCATAAAATCTTATAACTTTCTTATATCTTTTTCTCATACCTAACCCTGTAAAGACTTCACATATTTATAACTATACAAACTTGCCTATTAAGAATCTATTTCCTTTTAGAATTCTTCTCTTGCAAGTCAAACTTACATATTAAGAATCTTTTTTCTCTTAGAATTCTTCTTTTGTAAGTCTTCTTGTCCATCAAGCAATATTTGATAAATCTCAAACAAATCTCAAACAAATCTCTAACAAATCTCAAACAAATCTCAAACAAATCTCTTATGGGATTTGAGTCAATATTCTCAACACTATGATGTTAAGGATTTATTACTCTATGAAGATCATCCGGTAATGATGAAAAACTAAGAATTCACAAATTTTGAGTTGTAAACAATCCATATATAGAATTTAATTCCCTTTATGCTGATATCTCCCATCTGGTTGCAGGTGTGGCAACATGTGCATCATACCCCGTTGTTGCTTGATTTGATAGAACTGTCTGGATTAGGTCAGTGCTATGTTATTCAAGCCCTCTAGTTACGGTCTACGAATGTTGTAGTTGTCGATCTCAAGAGGCGAGGGGTCATAGTGTAGTTGAAGGGTGCTGGCTTGATGCACAATAATGTCTAGGACGAATAAGACGCAAATGTATCGTACACAACAAAACAGAATGGAAATTTTATCTTTGAATGCTTCTCGTGTAATAACTTGCCAACATTGGGAATCAATTTATATCCTTTTATATTCCCCCTAAATAGCACCCAAGTTTGCCTTCTTGCGTGCGCTTGCCTGCATCTGTCCTCCTTTGATGAGGCTTGGCTGGAGGCATTCCTGAGAGTTTGTCGATTATTCTTTGATGGCCAAATCCCGCCTTATCCGGTGACCCTGGCTCTTTTTCAAGGTTGCAATTTTTTTTTTTGATATTTTTATTGGGACTTTTTCAAAATTTTTTATTGAAAATTTTTTTGATAAAATTGATAAATGTCTTAATTTTTTATATATTATAAAATGGATATTTTAAAAAAATTTCTGAATCCCTCACAATTAAAACCTTATCTTCAAAAAAACATTTTTTGTTGCTACAAAAAATGTATCCTTTCAATAATCTCACATTATAGTTTTTTTTTCTTATTTTGATTTAAGTCAAATATAATATTCAATAAGCACTATAGCTTTTGTTTTTTTTTTGTTATTCGAATAACTTAAATCTCTTTCTTCAGATAAAAATATATTTTTTTCATTACAAAATGTTTGTCATATATTGATTTTTATGAAATTAAAAAAATAATTTTAATATATTTAATATTAAACTTTTAAATTTTTTATAAAATTAAAATATCATGATTTTAATAAAAAATAACTTTAAAATATAAAAAAATAAAAATTTTAAATATTCAAAAATAATAATTTGAGACATTAAAAAAAGAATAAAAAAAATGAGACAAAAATAATATATAATATGTCCAATAAGCACAGTCTTGACATTGTCTTCATGAATCAAAACCAAAGCACGAAAGCGACGTGTTGACTCCGGCGTTCCATGATTGCCACGTTTTACTGTAAACTGTCAACTGAATACTTGCAATAAAAGAATCGAAAGCAACAAGACAAATCCAAAACAGATTTTCTTTTATTATTTGTAAAAAAAAGCTTGCCGAGGATTATAATATTCTTTTATTGCCCAGAAATTTATTATATTCTCTATTTGGTCTGAATGTGAATTAGATGTTAAGTACGTATAATGGAGCTTTCTTTTACCAACCAAAAAGAAAAAGAAAAAAAAGGTAAAACAGCCCATTCTTTTTAATAAAAATGAAAAAAATAAAAGCTCGCTATTTTTTTTTAAACATTATTTGGTTGAAAAATTATTAATTGATAAATAAATGACAAGTAAGAAATTAAATTGTGAGCAAACCTTTTTGTGTTCGAAATATTTTTTTTTAATAAATGATCATCGACATGATTCAAATATAAAATTTTTCATAAAAAAAATAATTTTAATTGATTAAATTAATCATTTATTGATGTTTGAAATATTACATATAATAGATATTTTGAGATATTCTACGTATACATATTTAATGTAAGAAATTAGTGATTGAATTTTAGTTTTCTTTTAATATGAAATTTAATAATTTTTAATAAAATAATTGAAATAAGAGAGATTATAATTATAATTTAAGTATTATATTTTATAAAAAATTAATAAATTAAATTAAATATAATTAAAGAATCAACATGCAATTAGAATAAAATTAAATTAAAAGAACACATGATAAAATTTGAATTTTAAATTTTAAAATTTTAAAATCTCTTTGACACTAAAATATAGCATGTTCGAGGTCTTTAAGATTTAAATGCGAAGGTCAAACATTTTTATTAAGTTGCCTTTTTTTATATATGTTTCATTAGGATCAAATTTTTATTTGAACCAATCAGCTTTTTTCATTCTAAAATCATGATATACATTAATATACATTAAACATTAGCAATATTTTCTTATAAAAATATGGATATAATTATATAAAAAATTATAATCACATCCAAATATTATATATAAAAATTAATAAATTAAATTAAATAAACAAATAAAATAACCAACGAACTAGTATTAATTAAATAAATATGATATAAAATAAAAACATAAAATTTAATTTTATTAATTTATGTAATTTTTTATGTAACATATAATTATTTTTAATAAATTTAAAATTTAAATTTTAGCCCCCATACATATAAAATTATTCTAACAACCGGTAAGAAATTTAATAAAAATCATCCTTAATAAAAGCCTTCATTTAATCATCTTTAACAAAACAAAACGCTAAATTCTTCATTTAATGGAAGTCATCCTTAATCAACTCCACAATTTTTATGATATTTCTTCTCTTAATATGAATGCAGAATATTTCTGTAAACCCTCCTTTAACTGACAATATTACGTTTTCTCATCAGTAACCACACAAAAGATGAAAAGTAAGGAGATAGAGATGATCAAGCACCAATCACAATCGTCCAGCTCAACCAAAACATAGGACAAACGTGAATCATCGTAACCTCGTCTGCAACATAGTTCTGCCCTCTTCTTTCTTAATTCGTACAAAACCAAAATATCTTTATCCAGATAATTTTCTTTGCTGTTTTTTTTTTTTTTCCTCTCGACAATTTCCAACAAAAAATATAAAATAACAGAATTTTCCATCAGTAAAGTGGCTTCTGCATTAATTATTTTTTTTTTTAGTAAAATAATATAGAATTTTTAAAGTAAAAAAAATTCTCTGTGTTATCGACAATGGCGGAAATATCGACTCCCCATGTGCGCTTCACCAGATATTAATATCCACTGCTTTTACACTCCCTTACTTTCTCTGCTCTTTTCATTTCCCCAAACGATGTCCCTTATTTTTGAAAGGCATGGTAATACTGGTTCAATCAGACGCTCAGGGTTTGTTCAGGGGATGCAGTGTATCTCGGTCCATGATTCGCCGGAGGAGAAAAGCGAGGATCGGAGGAGGTTGTTGTCGATGGAGGCGAGAGAAGAGGATGATTTGGGGTCTTGTAGTTCCTCATCGATCGGAAGGAACAGTGATGTTTCCGCTGAATCTTCATCGGAAGGTGAAGATTCAACGGAGGCTGAAGTGCAAAGCCAGTTTAAAGGACCTTTGGATACCATGGGTGCTCTAGAGGAGGTTTTGACTATGAGGTAATTTTTTTTAAGATTAAAAAAAAACCCTTAAAAATTTGGGTTTTTCTTTCTTTCTTTCTTTCTTTCTGGGTTTTGATCCAATCTTGGTTTTTGGTCGATGGCTTTTGTTAAAATTTTCTAAGGTAGTTTAGAGGAATGGCTAAGGTTTAGTTTGAGATTTTTTCTTTTATCTTGTAATATTGGTTTGGAGAATTCATTAGAAATATCCATTTTATAACTTCTTAATTTGGACCCTATATGAAATTTAATGAGTTTCCATTGCTTCAAGAGAGTTGAACTGGCTTTAATAAATATAAGTGATTTTTGTATTATCACTTAAGAAGTTAATGGGGGAAGTGCTGATGCTAGCTTCCTAGAATGGTAGTGGAAGACAGGAAGCATGTAAAGCATAGTAAGTGGAGAAAATGTGTCTTCAAAATATTTGACCACCAATTACTACTTGAAATTGCACTCTGTTAATCTAATGCCATTAAACCAGTTCAGTAGAATGAAAGTTCTTCATCTTGCAAGATTACCAACTATAAGCCAAGGGCAGTGCACTCCCATTTTCCTTGGCAAGAATTGCTTGAATGACAGGAAAATTTTTTCTTAAAAGGACTGTTGTGATTTTGCACAGTTATTGTTGGTTGCTTCAATTTCTTATTTGTGTGATTTTGCTTTATTTCAGAAGAGGCATATCCAAGTTTTATAATGGCAAATCAAAGTCCTTCACAAGTCTGGCTGATGCTGCTGCTGCTTCCTCTGTTAAAGATTTTGCAAAGCCAGATAATCCCTATAATAGGAAACGCAAAAACTTATTAGCTCATAGTTATTTATTGGACAAGAATCGTAATAATCCTTTGAGAAACAGTGGAAGTGAGATATCAAAGAGACTAGCCAACTCCAATAGAGGCACTGTGGCTCTTGGAGCTACTACAAGCAGCTCTGACTTCAACTCAATCTCATCATCGCCATCTAGCTGTCTTCCACCTCTGCATCCACAGTGTAAAAAATCAGCTACCAACAGATCATCATCACCGACTACTCAACTGAACCCTCCTTGCCGGTCTTTCTCCTTGTCTGATCTACAGTTTGTTGCTGGTGTAACTCCTAACATAGCTGGGTTGGCTGTTCGTAATGGCAACAAGGACAACAAACTGCATTGAATTTAACTGAAGTACACTTTCAGAATTGTGAAACTGGAAGTCGCCAAAATGTTTATGGTGTTGGACTTGGAGAATGTCACTTATCACCTCCTGCTTTGATCTAATGCTTGTACTCTTAATGCTAGGTATTCTGTGGCCATGCATTTTGAGAACTAATTCCTGCTGTAACATTTTCATCTCTTGTTTGCTTTGAGATGGTGATGAGAATGCTTTATTGTATAATACAAATAGTAAAATTCATTCTCTTCATAAGAAGCAAATGTTGGCCTTTTTCTCATTTCTCAGTGATACCAATCACTATTTACATAATTACATGTTACTGCAGTAGCAGTGCAGTTTTTCCTTTTCCTCCTCTCGACCTTCTTCAACATTGCGTTATTTTTCTTCTTGTATAGAGGGTGCTGGTTATAGTACTATGATCTGTGATTTAGAGTGACTGATTCCACGGGGTCGTTAGTTCAGGTCGTCCTTATGGTTTATGATTTTTGCCAATTCCTGTGGCTAATAGTGGAATTTACTATATAGGTCATCAGCAGCATGGAAGAGATCCCATTTGCTAATTTGGCTCTCTATGCTTTTGCAATGCAACTTGGGAAAGACTTTTGCAAGTTGCAGACAGTTTGAAATGAGAAATAAACCTTATAAATGTTTTCAACTTTCCTTTTGTTACTTTGGAAGTGCAGTTTACCTCAGTCTTGTTTCCTGGTTAACTTTCCTGTAAGTTTTCAGTCGATTGTATCTGGTTTGATGAAGTATGGTGTTTACACCAAAATCATAGCTATTGGAAGTCAGATGATGGTTGCACTGGCATGTGCAGATGTCCATGTAACATGCACATGTGGATGCATACACGGACCAAGGTTAGAGTATTGACATAAGAATTAATATTCTTAGTGCTAAAAGTTCATGTTTTATGCTTAGATATTTTATGATTCCTGAACGAGAGATATATAACTGATCGGACGGCATTGGCCATAGTGAAAACATATTGAACCAAGTTTTGATTCTGTGGGATAGCTGATGAGCTCACCTAGTATCCTTGTGTGGCATTCAAAACAACAGAATTTACGTTAAAGTTCATAAGCTCACCAAGTATACATGTGTGGCATTCAAAACAACAGAATTTATGTTAAAGTTCATAATGGCATCAAATTATCAACAGTGATACCAAGTATGAGCAAAAAATCTTGAGCACTAGATAGTTCTATTATTCTTGCGGTAGATTTATATCAAGCGATGACAGAAGGCTTGTTTAGGGGACAATAATTACTTGAAAATATCATGTTTACTTAAAATATCTTAATAATGATTGAAGTTTATAAACATTGTGTGATATTTGAGCATTGATTAACAAGAGACTTCATTACACTCCAAAGCAATCCGAGAGCTGTAAGTGAACATAATGAGTCTGAAGTTTCGAAGTGTATTCGATGTCACAATTATGCAAAAAATGAAGCAAATCTATCAGGTGAAGATGCCGACTTTTTTTTTTTTTCAAAGGACTAGTGAATAAACAGCAACTATCAAAGAGTAAACTTGTTTCCATCATTGGACAACAACTCTGATTTTTGCGCGTAAATAGAATAGTAAATCGACGGATTTAAGCCCTTTCCTTCTTAGTTTCATATATATGGAATGAAAACTAGAGTTCTGACCAAACGATAAACCTGAAATATCTCCTGAATAAAACAATTAGTAGATTGGTAAACTAATTATTAGGTTCTTTATCTTGTTAGACGTTTAAATTTTCCTCAATGCCAAATACTTGATACCCTGAAACAGAAAGATTACTAATAATCTCAACTCTGCTTTCCATAGAAAGGCTACAGACATTAATTATACCTTGCCCTAAAGAATTTCTTTCCTGAAATGACAAAAGCCAGCAAAGGTTCTGGTGTTATTCAGTCATTATTTTGATAAGAACAACATTATGATTCTAGGTCAATCTTAGTTTGAATTTGCACTGGCAGTGCATATATGTTGGTCTGTACTGGACTGGAATAAGAGAAGTCAAAAGGCTGTCTTGTGGGGGTGCCCCTTGATTTTACCTGTGCTGCTTCGTGATAGAGGAGGCTGCTTACCGAGGGAGATCCAGTCCTATTTGAGAATCAGGTTTCTTTCTGCTTGCATTCATGGCCAAATGATAGCTTATATATAAGATTTCAATGGTTTTTCAGGCTCCATAGATGCCATTACATTGTTCTGCAGTTACATTTTCTTTAACCGTTCACCCTTTTTCTTTTGTTACTCTAACTTAGTGATTGCAATGCTTATTATACAGGGTCCTGATACCTCTTGCTCACCTGTCTAAATCAAGGCAATGCTGAAAATGATGTTTCCCCCATCTTTCGTTTCACAAGAGGAATTCAACATATTTCACACAATTGATCGGCTGCTATACACTCTGCTTGTTATCAACCTGTGGCGGGACCCTGTGGAGTCTATTCGGGTTATAGCCCTATGGCTCTGGCTGGAGAGGGTAGGGTTCAAAAATGTTGTACAGAAGATATTGTCCTTGCCTTATATATTGATAAATGAACTTGCAGATGACGCTGTCGCATGCCTCAACATCATTAACAATAACCAATTAGCTTCCTTGTCCGAGGGCATTGACATTCCTTTGATGCAAAGCTTGATGGAGGGAGATCTGTCTCTCCAATTCTTTTATGAAAATCGGCTGATTGCGGCACAAGGTATTGTCAGAATTGTGAATGAAGTATGTATGAGAGCGTTAAGGGACATCATGCAACATGCCATCGAAAGAAATGCTGCCCAAAGCTTAGCTGATAGCCAGCGGCAGCAAGCAATGTCACAAACTTTGCAACCAATGGTTCTACCAGGTTTATCTCAGATGGGATTTAGTCCAGGTAATGTGGGACTTCCTTGGACCCAAGAAAATGAAGTACCACCAGACGATAGGACTATGTTTGTCACATTCTCTAAGGGCTACCCAGTATATGAATGGGAAGTCAGAGAATTCTTCACCAGGGCTTATGGGGATTGCATAGAGTCCTTACACATGCAAGAAGTGCTGCCTGATGAGCAATCGCTCTTTGCTCGAATTGTTTGTCACTCAGCATCAGCCATTGAAGTGATCCTTAATGGTATGAGCAAAACGAAGTTTACCATCAATGGGAAGCATGTGTGGGCTAGAAAATTTGAGCCAAAACGTCTCAAACCTTCTCCAACAGCGCCACCAATGAATTTGCCAGTTTCATTTGGGTTTTGATCATAATTTCTCTATGTAGGAGGGGTTTCAATCATCTTTTTTCAAATCTAGGGAAATTCAATATAGCATGGAGTTTGAAGCTATTTTCATGGAAAGTACTCAATTTGTTTGATGTAACTCAAAACTTGAAGAAAAGAAGGAATAGAATTTGATTAATGATATATTTTCCCCAGTAATCTCCTTCAACATATTATTTAGTAATTCATAGATGATATATGATATAGAATTCAATCGTTGATAATTTCAAATATAATAAAAAAAACCCTAAAATATCAGCTTAAAACTTGTCTGGATTAAAAAAATTAATTATAGTTTAAAATAAAATCTAATTCACAATCACATATCAAACATATTTAGATTATTATATTTATCTGGATTGTCTTATTACTTTATTTAAATATAAGAACAAAATTAACAAGATATAAGAGTACCCAACTTTAGTTAAGCAATATTAAATCTTATCATATTATATGCACAATTTTTTACAATTGCTCTGTCTAAAGATGAATTAGAAATATCTTATATAAAATAAATAGTAATATTTAATCACACTATCCAATCAGTAATATTTGTTAAAATTCATAATAAAGAGAAAGAAAAGAAGGCAAATCTAAAATAAAGAACTATCCCTACTGCATTGCATAATGCATACCATAAATTTAAGAAATTAAGATAGGAGTAAAGGTTTAGGTTCACTATGATTTATCAGTCTAACGTGGAACTAAAAGCTTGAGTTGATGCTCATTGATGGATTGGTATTTCAATGTTTAATGGGTTTGAAACTTAACAGTGTTTTTATTTTTGGGTTTAGAAACATCAAAAGTTTGTGTCATGTATTCTGTGTATTCACTGCATTTGTTTAGTTTGATTTTTTTTATCCAATTGCATTGTGAATTAAGTCATCGGAAATAGTTTACTAAAGAGAGGCAAAGGTTTAACATTTCTGGGTGAACAAGAAAAATAGAGGTGATTTTTTTATACAATTTTTATGCTTACATCCAAATATATATTCTATTATTAATTTTAATTTTATTATTATAATATCTAATCTCACCAATATCATTATTTTCAATTTTACTGAAATCAATCTTATTACACATCTAAATGGATTATAAATTCATCTGGTTGCCCTGCTGCATTCATCTCATTACTGATCTGACTAAATCCATCTTGTCGCCTCACTTCAGCCCGAGCCATATTAGCCCGAGCCATAGGAGATGCGGTCGATGCCTGGGGCGCTGCATTCATCTCATTACTGATCTGACTAAATCCATATTGTGGCCCCGCTTCAGCCCGAGCCATAGGAGATGCGACCGATGCCTGGGGCGCTGCATAAAGAAGGGGATACCTTTGTTGGGCTAAAAGCCTCCAATTCAATCACACTAGTAGAAGTGAAATCAAATAATAAATTAAACACACAAGAGACAACAATTTAACGTAGTTAGGTCCAACTGACCTACATCCACAGATGAGAAACAAGCTCCACTAGTTGTAGAGAATTACAAACTTACATCAAATCATCAACGTCACTCAACAATCAATACTCATAAGACACTCTCAATCTCCTCTAGTCCTATGAAGTATTCTTAACTTAAACAAACACAAACCCAAACCCTAGTGCACCCTTTCAACATAACCAAACATATACTCATATGCTCCTATACATCATACCTATGTGGACCCTCTCAGTCTTCTCTAGTCCACTCACAAACAAACATACACACCCATAAGACGTAGAGCCCCAATACTCCTATGGGGTATCTATCCCACAAAACCCTACAACTCTTTTACATCTTTTCCTCATACCTAACCCTGTAGAGATTTTACCTATTTATAATCATACAAACTTGCCCATTAAGAATCCCTCTCCTCTTAGAATTCTTCTCCTGTAAGTCAAACTTGCCTATTAAAAATCTCTTTCCCTTTAGAATTCTTCTCTTACAAGTCAAACTTACCTATTAAGAATTTTCTTTCTCTTAGAATTCTTCTTTTGCAAGTCTTCTTGTCCATCAAGTAATATCTGACAAATCTCAAACAAATCTCTTATGGGATTTGAGTCATTATTCCCAACAATTTTCACCTTAACTCAAATTCTATCAATCATTTATCTTCATGCTAGACATGTTTGGCTCCACCTGCAATGAAAGTCTCACAATCATCTTCTTTTCTCTTGTGTCTTCACGTTTCATACAAACTAATCTTCAATATTCAAAACTTAAACTTGAACTCTTCTCTTGAATCGAGCTCTTCTGGACTTGCTTATTTTCATGTCTCAAACCATGCACTTCTCACATCTTAAACCTTTAGCTCTTCCCACATCTCGAACTTTCAGCTCTTTCACATCTCGAACCTTTGGCTCTTTTCACATCTTAAATCTATGACTCTTCTCATGTTTCGAACATTCAACTCTGATACCAATTGTTAGGGAACACCACAGCTCTAATACCATTTGTTGAGGAACACCACAGCTCTGATACCATTTGTTGGGCCTAAAAGCCCTCCAATTCAATCACAGCCAGCGGAAGTGAAATCAAAATAATAAATTAAACAAACAAGAGACAATAATTTAACGTGGTTCGGTCCTAACTGACCTACATCCCCGGAATGAGAAAACAAGATCCACTAGTTGTAGAGAATTACAAACTTACATCAAATCATCAACCTCACTCAACAATCAATACTCATAAGATACTCTCAATCTCCTCTAGTCTATGGAGTATTCTTAACTCAAACAAACACAAACTCAAACCCTAGTGCACCCATTTCAACATAACCAAACACATACCCATATGCTCTCATACATCATACCTATGTGGACCTTCTCAGTCTTCTCTAGTCCACTCACAAACAAACATACACACTCATAAGACGTAGAGCCTCAATACTTCTATGGGGTATCTATCCCACAAAACCCTACAACTCTTTTACATCTTTTTTTCATACCTAACCCTGTAGAGACTTCACCTATTTATAACCATACAAATTTGCCCATTAAGAATCCCTCTCCTCTTAGGATTCTTCTCCTGTAAGTCAAACTTGCCTATTAAGAATCTCTTTCCTTTTAGAATTCTTCTCTTACAAGTCAAACTTACCTATTAAGAATCTTCTTTCTCTTAGAATTCTTTTTTTGCAAGTCTTCTTGTCCATCAAGCAATATCTGACAAATCTCAAACAAATCTCTTAAGGAATTTGAGTCATTATTCCCAACAACCTTACCATGCATTCATGGAAAAAGTTTTGAACCGTGTTATATACAGAGCAGTTGCGAAGAAGCTGGCGGAGCACTAGGGTAAACATGTAATAAAACAATAATAGAAGTAGGAGAAGTACCCATATGGCTAATACAAAATAGCCCAATGGAGGGACAAGGATCAATGCCATTAAGCCACAAGCAAGAACTCCAAAAAGAAGAAATATTTGATTTAGAACGGGAACAAATGAGTGGTTTGTGAACCAAATTTGTACTGTTATCGTCGTCGTAGCAACTAAAGTGTTGATTAACATCGTCACAATGAAAAGTATCATAACTACAACGTGTGTTTCGAATGGAGACACATCCTTGTTTTCATACTTCACTTGAAGGAGCCGACGATTGCACACATTTTGGTGAAAGTACTTTCTACTTGGTCACTTTGCACAAACAAGGAAAAGAATTATTAGTTTGAAGAGAAAAGAAAAGAAAAGATGACAACTAAAAATTAATCAGAGCTAATGACAACTTTGAAAAATTCACTAACCTCTGGTATATTGATTGGTTCACCGAGGTTGGCATGCTATTTCAAGAGAGTTTGTGGAATTGATTTACTGGCAATCTGAACTAAAATGTTTTTCTTCCCGTAAAGGTTTGTTTTTTGAGTCTCTTTCCCCTCGTCCCTTATTTAACCTTCTTGAGGAGTTGTGAAAACAACGAAATAGTAAAAAAAAAAGGTACCCAACTTTGCAAGACAGGGTCCCACTCAGAATGAAAATGACCATTGCTTTTATCATGAGTGGGTTTTCCTTGACTCTATCCAGTTTCTGCGAAGGACCCACGTTTGCAAACACTGTGCAAAATCTGTGCGAAATAGGGTCCCTTTCAGAGCTGTTCCTTGACTTTATGCATTTTGTTCTAGAGAAACCCTTATTTGCAAACACTGCAAAATAAGGTCCATTGTATTTTATATGGATGGGTAGCTTTGAACTGTTCATGTCAATTTCAGTGGGCTGGCCCTGGCTTACCAACAAAATGCTAATCGGACATGCATATCTGTTATAGAGTTGGCATCGGGCCGGGGTGAGGCAATTTTTTGCTTTCCTTGCCTTCGACCCGATGCTTCAATGTTTTATCTGATACCCGACCCGTCTCCACTCGGAGGTTGTTATTGAAAAACCCGACCCCGACCCACTAGAATATTATTTACTTGAATTTAACCCGATCCGACCCGAATTCAATTTACTACCTATTTAAATTTACCAAAAATGTAATAAATTATAATCTAAATATATTACAAGCATTAACAAATTTAATATAATCACTCACAAATTCAAACTTAGTACATACTATTTTTTTATCTAGTAAAAATCTCATAAATTCTCATCATAAATAATAGAATTATAAAATACATAAAATATAGTAAATTCAAACTCACAAATTCTTACCATAGATGATGGAATTATGAAATATATAAAACTTAGTAAACTAAAAATCAACTATTAAACAAGCATAAGTTAATAACTAAATTTAAATATAATACATGATACAAGATGAACATCAAAAGCTTAAATCACCACAATAAAAAGCTAAATTGTTTGAACATCCTTTCATCCAACATGATAAAAATCTTTCAAGACCACAATAAATCATTCCATCATCACTAAGCTCTATACCATCATTCTCCTCTAACCACACTAGTCCTGTAAAATAAAACAATAAGATGAATAAATAAATCTCATAAAATAATATATTTAAAAATAATAATATAAAAAATAAATTAATTAAAAAAGATAATATTATTTACCAA